TAAATGGGGCTTAGCTCCTTCTGGGTGCACGGTGTAAGCATTTCCCCGCTTCTCTCCTCTCCCACGTGGGTGAGTTTACTTTCCTGATTTTCAGCAATAATAAATAAGGGTGTGGAGAGGTGCACAGACTCCTTCCAACAGCCAGTTTGTGCAGTCCACGTGCATCCCCTACGGGAACTGCCGTCCCATCACTGAGACATGAGGCCAGTTCGACAGGGGCTGTGCTGTATTTAACCCTTACAAATTTTTGCCTAGCCCTCTAACCGCCTATTTAGGTGCTCAAAGGCCATGTGATGCTGAAGGCATCCCTTGATGTACCATGTACTTTCTCTGCCTGCTTTTTGTATTAATGAAATGTTTTTTTTCAAGCCCCACTCGCACATCTTCATTTGGGAAACAAATTACTCCCATAAAAGCTGGCAGAGTAGCTCACAGCAAGCTTCACAGTGAGCCGGTGCGTGTGCCAGGGCTGCTTGCTAATACACAGCTGAGCTGCCAGAATGCTGAGGTCGTGTAACACCCCACAAAACTGCCTAATGTACCTTGTGGGTAATTAAACGTCACTCAGCTTTAGTAATCAGCCTTCGGTAATGGAGTTCAGCCAATTAAAATAGCTTTTTTTATAAGCGGGATAAAACTGGTGGCATATGACAGGAGGGTGACCGAATTGCTCACGGTTTAATGACACCTCTAACTGTGCCGTAAAGGTGTCTGGTTTCTATGTAAATTGTTGCACGCCATAGAATCGTTGGTCTTAATATCAGCGAGCAGTTTTTGTGTCGTAGAGCCCTGTTTATACACTCCAAGGCGCAATGACTGGAAGGATCCCTCGATGGGAACGTGAATCATGCGTGTTTGGTATTGCAGGTATTGCATCCCATCTGGGCATGGAAGCGTTGCGGAGCCCGGTGTGTCACGGTGCCACCCCTTGTGTTGTTATCTGGATGGAAGAGCCTGGGAAAAGGAGAGAGTTTACTTGTGCTTGGCATCCTCAGTCACTGATGTTAACATCCAGTGAGTAAGTTCCAACGTTTGCTGGAGCGAAGTAATAGTCAAGAGACTTGTTAAGTTGGCCAACTTTTTCTTAATTTAAAGTTTGGATGTTGCCTTTGCTCTGTTCCTGATCATGTTTCAGGGTGTTCTTTTGTCTGCTGATCTTCTCTGAGCACTTGTGCTGTGTGTGTGTGACTGTGCTCATCAGGGAGCAGAGTCATAAAACCACACGTGAAACCAGCAGCCTTTCTGTGCTTGGTGGAGCCTCTGCAGAGCAGCAGCGCGACAGCCCGAGACAAAGGACATGAGGAGAAAGCCTTTCAGGGGTGGATGGTGCAGCTCTGCCTGGTGTTGTCACCAGGTGAGACTTGAGGGCTGTAGCCAGGCATGTGAATTGGCTGAGAAAGTGGTGGCCTTTGCAAGATTTGTGAAGACTTGATTTATGCTCAGTGATATTAGTACAAACTGAGCCACTTTGAAAGAATCTTTCTTAAACCAAGAGGAATGTTTTGTGGCTGTGCCACTGGAGGCTTTACAGTGTCTGAGGAAGCTCAACATTACCACATGTGTAGAGAAGACAGATGGACACTGCTTAAGGTACACATCCAGTCCTTTTTCCGTGTCCTGGTTTTGGCTGGGATAGATTTAATTTTCTTCCTAGTAGCTGGTACGTGTCCGTGCTTTGGATTGGGGATGAGAACAATGCTGACAACACACTGAGGTGTCGGTTGTTGCAGAGCAGCACCCACCTAGAGCCAAGGGCTGCTCAGCTCCTTTCGCTGCCTGCTGGGTTAAACCACAGCAAGCTGTTTCAAAATTGGTTTTCTTTAAAAGGTGCACTTCTTTTTTCTTTTTTTTTTTTTCTTTAATATTGTTTGCAGTAAGAAGTCATGGCACTGTACCAGAGTTGATGCTTGCCACAGTAATGCTGCATCGTACATGGGGAGATTCTGCCTTGGACCATCCCAAGAGGGGGAGAAATCTGGTGGATCCATTTCTTTGGCTTTTTGACCTAAAGGAGGGCAGGGGCAAAAGGCAAGGGGAGAGGTGACATGGTCCCCCCTTTGCTGGGGTACCAGTGGTGTCAGAGCAACCGTGGTCTCCCTCAGATCCCCTGGAAGTGGCAACCCCAAACTCTGGTACGCAGTAAAATCCGTCTCTCAGAGCACACGCTGCACCTTGCTGTGCCAGGTGTTTGCCAAACGTGCACTGAATCGAAAGGATCCTGGATGGAAGTCTGAAATGAGACACCGGCCTGCTGAAATGCGCCGTGAGGAAAGACTCAGGAGAAGGTGATGGCTTCCTGGCTTGAGCAGAAGGTAAAAGCTCAGCAAACAGCAGGGTAACAGAAGTCCCTGGGGAAGTGCCAGAGAAAGGCAGGATTTGGCTGTATCACACAGAAAGGGGCATCCTTACTCTGGGTGCCGGGCAAATACCTGGCGTGCTTTCTCAGCCTGTGGGGTGCAACAGGCACGCAGTGTGTGCGTTCACACAGAATGCTCCTGGTACAGCCTGCGTGGAGATGCCTTAGCAATGGCCCTTCTGCTCTCCAACCATGGTGTCTGCAGAAGGGACCAATGGAAGAGCGGTTTGATAGCAATGGAAACCTGTTCCTGGGTCTTGGGGAATTGGTAGTGGCTGGATTAAAACAGGGACGGGACAAAAACCTGCCCGTGTACTACAGGAGGTTAAATATTGCTAAGAGTAAAGAAAGAACTGGTTGATTCTTAACAGACACAGGGAAGCAACATGAGGAGAAGTAATGATGGGGAGAGTGCCTTGCGTACGGAACAGGGAATTATTTCTCACCAGAAAATTCAGGCCCGCTTTGCTTCATTGCTTGACATGTGTTTTAAGAAAATGAGGGCTAGAGCTACATGATCCATGTCTATCAAGCATGTGTAAGTGTGATATCCCATCTGACTCTCCGGAGCTAAATTGGAATTTCTTGGGAGAAGAATGGGAACCTAAGGGAAACAGTCTGGTGCTCTTCTAAATCACCACCTGAGCCTGCCACTAAAATTAGCACTTCTTCCCAGCTCTGCAGGTTCACCCCCGTGCATGGTGCTCAGCTCAGTCCTCTTTAATCGGTGTGGAAGTCCTCAAACCCTGCGCGACTACAGGATGTCAGGATAAAGCAGCAGGTAAGCAAGTGGGTTTTAACTACCAGGAAAACTTTAATCATTTTGTGTTTCAGATAGATGCATATATTTACTGCTGTTTACATACTACTATACACATATATGCCATTATATATGTGATACAATATCACATATATATGTGATATAATAATATGTCATTATATAGATTTACTAGTTGTTAGTTTATGTATAGTTAATTTTACACATGTATATAAATGAAAGTAGAAAAAATTGCATAGAAGTTAATTTGCATAGAAGTTAAAATTGCATAGAAGTTAATCAGCTGACAAAAAGAAGTTAACCTCAGCTGACAAAACTCCAGCTTTCTAAAATCCATTTCTAAAAATGTATTTTCCTCTTTGAGGACAGAGGAGGAGGATGGAGATTGCTGGCACAAGCCATCTTCTGCTCAGGGTTGGCTTCTCATGGCTAAGCTGAGTCCGGTGAAATCTTATTAAGGTGATTGTTGCATTTTCAAACTATGAGAAAAACAATGCTTCAAGCTCCACTTCTAGGACGATTTATGAGGGAAACCTAGGGAGGCTTAACACCAGAAGGAATGGGGTTTATTGAAAGCACGCAGTAGTGAGTTAATGACATGGCTTTGATGAGACATGAGGTGACAGTACAGCATAGAAACAGGAAACAAAAATTTGGGATTGTCCTGTCCATTGTACTTACTTTAGTATCAGAAAATGCACACTGTCACTAGCATCTATAATTTAAGAATAATCTTTATTTTTAATTCTGGGGGGGAGATTAGCATGTCTTTTTAACACATAAAATTGTAAGTTGGTAAAAAGCTGTACAGTACATTTGATAACTGTTTTCATGTGCGTTTAGTGCAATTTCGCCACTTGCCTAAGTGTTTAAGCAGGCGTTTTTTTGGCACAGTTAGTAATCTATTTACTATGCTCTAACCAGAATTATAAATCACCGCATAGGAAGCCCTCAGGCCACGTTCTGATCTTTCTTGAGGCTCGTGTGAAAATGGCAGCATCTGCTCCATCCTGGCTGAGATGTCCAGCAGGAGCTAGCAGAGGAGCATCGCACCAGCCCCATGAACCAGCCTCACCTCATTGGAAACACCATGTGAACAGTGGAAGAGAGGAGGGGACGCACGCAGACACAGTGTCACTGCACAACCAGCTCCAGAGGTGAGTGACCGACAGCCCTGACAGCTAGCACAGAGACAGACTCCCAGAGGCCATCCCAGGTGCCCACTGTCAGTGGTTACAGGGCTTTACGGGGTTTGTCACCTGTCTGATTGTGCAGATGAAGGGCAGTCAGAAACACCCAATCCTCCTGTTGCCATCTGAGTACTTATTTCTGCTCACCATCTGTATTCAGTGAGATTCTGGCTTCTATGACCTGTTTGTAAAGGGACAAAAACCCACTTTGTCATACTTAGAAGGTTTTCGTTTTAACCAAGGAGTCTCACTCTAAGAGAGCCATGGTAATAGAAGACCTTTCTTCTTCCACTGCATATGAAGCAGATCAAAATGCATTAATTATGGTAAATGTCACAGAATACAATTTGTGCAGGCTCAGTAGTGTGCTGTGGTTGCTGGGTTTTCTTCTAAAAAGGACATTTTATATCTCAAACTCTTAATTTACCCATTAAACTGTTCTAAAAGCTATTTTGAAAATTGTCACACTTTGCTTCAAATAATATAGATATACTTCCTTTTGAATAATATATATATACAGCTCTTACCATATTATAGTGAAATGCACTTTTAATTTTAAATTTGGGAATAGTTAAGTAATTAGCTACCTCATTGTTGTTGAATTGTCATGTTTTGGTTCATTTCATTGCACTAAAAATGAGACTTTTGATCCAGAAATGAAAACAAGATATTCCAATTAGTAGTAAGTAACAGCCTTCTTTACTGATTACTTTAAAATAAAGACAAGGCATTTCAACTATTCACAAATATTTCTGACAGATTGCAAAATAACATAAGAGAAAAAAGATCATGATCATATCCAAAGCAAAATAGGTTAAAGAATTTTTACAAAGTCATTGTTTTTCCATTTCAAGATTTTTGCTGACACACTTTTGCAGGAGAGTATCTGTTTGGTGAAATAAACTTCTCTTCTACATACAGTGCTAGGGGACAAATTGGAAAAGTATCCTCAGGAAGGTATTGTGTCAGAACCAGGCACTCAGAACATGGCCTCTCATTTCTGTGGACTGTCTGCAAGGTTTAATTTTTTTTTCTTTTTAATGGTATTTTTATAAAATGACATGAAGCTGACTGTTTGTTTTACATTTTATGTATTTAAAAGAGCCAATACCTATTTCTTCTATGTATACATTTTTGAAGCTTTAAGACTGTGCCACTAATAACACTTTATCTGTCTTTTGTCATTTTCTGAAATGTTACTAATACTTTGTCAAATTTTGACTTACTAACGGCAATGATGATGACGTTCCTTGTCCAAAAATCCCAAGCCAGTTCGAACAATTCCCTGGGAAACTGCAGACCACATGCATGATACGTAAGTAAAAAATTAGTCCAAAGTCCTGATAAACATTTAGTGCCAGCTAGAGCTAATATTTGGTCTAGTTCTAAACAGTAAAATGCTTATTATATACAGAACAGTTGGATGGAACATGGACATTGGACAAGGGTGGCTCAAGGCATTTCACGGTCTGAATTGTTTGCACAGCCATAAGGCAGCTGCCCTTTTTTTTTAGGCATGGGCTCATGCCAGGCCTGGGAAGGGGAAGGCCCTCAGCATTGCAGAGGGCTCAGTCACACAAGGTGCAAGTTACCTTCTCCCGGCTGTGCGATCTTCAGCTCAACCAGGAGTTTCTTGCAGGACTGAGAGCCCGTTAGGGCTTCCTCCTGAGCTAAAAGCAAACCTGGACAGCATGATCAGATGCCAGTTTACGTCAGGTTAGGATTTGGTCTTTTGCCTTCACCGTATTACAACACAAAGAACTGTACCAGCATTTCTCAATGAGCACCATTAACTGACTTTGGTAACGTATCTGTTGGCAGGCCCAGTAGGATCACGCCATGTGCTGAACTCCTGCCTCGTGTAATAGGAAAGCACAGCTGCCAACTACCTCGCAACTGGAGTCTGTAAGTATTCAAAACATAAATATGTTCATAACCATACACATATACACAAACCGCAGCAGTAGCAATATTACAGGATGCAGAGCCTACTCTATGTAACTGCTCTTTAATACAGATGCAACACCCACGTAAATGCTGTCTAATATGAAACAACCCCTCCTCGAAGGTCAATGGCAGCAGGCCAAAGGTCAGGTCCAGGCTTCAGCCAGGCTGAGCTGGCTCTGCAGCTAGCTCAATCCCACCGTCTGTCAACTCTAATTAATAGAAGAGTAGCACTATGGGAACATAACGAGTATCTGTTAACTTTCTGAGACGGAGATTTCTTTTCACGCCATTTGTAATTATTTCTCCCTTTTTCACAAGTGCTCTTTGTGTGAGCGCTCATTGGGCATAAGAGAGGATAAAGTTATTACATACAAAATATGATTTAGGGGTAAGGCTTAATAGAAGCAACCAGCGCTGAGTTTGGAGGTCCTGAACCCGGGGAGGTGTTCTTCATGTTTTTAAGGGAAGTTTCAGTGAGATTGCACTTAGCAGACTACTAAGAAGTTGTCACTCTCCAACTGGTTCTTCTTTTTTTTGCAGCTCTGTTTCAAAGCTCGGTAGGAATAGTAGGAGAAGGGCTAGAGGAGATGACTGCGCTAGTCCCCCGTCTTTGCTAATGTTCTTCAGAGCAGCGTCCTCGCCTCAAGATCACATCATCAAGTCCAATGTCCCCAGTTCTTCCTTTCCCCTTCTCCCCTCTGAAAATAACCTGGGAAAAGAAAAAGAACAATTGGAGTGCAAGAACGAAATGAAAGAATCTTTGCTTGTGTGAGTAACTGGGTAATGGTAAGAAAGCAAAAGCATAAGAAAGCACAACCAGTCTTAACTGACTCAAAAATGCCTATATAATTCTGCTGAGAATTACGTATTGTTTTTCTTTTCCTGATCGTCTCCTTCTTTTTTCACCTTAGCAGGATCTTTGTGAAGAGCCAGCAGTTCAGGACTGGAGCTATGGCACAAATCAAGGAGGTGATTCAAGTCCTGCTCCAGCTGCCAGATCTGAGGTAAGAATTTCCACACAGGAGAATGTGTTGTGCTTTCTATAGCTCCCTGCTGCACTGTTCTCATTGTCCCTCACAGCAAACACACAACACCCTGCCTAGTCTAACAAAATCCTGTCCTAATGGTGGAGCTTTCCGTCCCTAAAACACCTCACAGCTGACTTGGTCCAAATGCCAAACACAGTTGGAACTGGAAACCCCCAACTTCTATTTAACAAATTCTGGCTCCTGCAGAGCCATGGTAATCTAGAGAAGCACTGACCGCTTGCAAAATGGCAGTGGAAGTTTGGGAATGGATTTACAGAGACCATTAGCAGTCCAGATTTAGCCTGCATAGAAGAAACTCATCAAACATAAAGCTCGACTAGAAGACCTGTAGCATAAATCAGGGCAGGGACGATTTACAGAATGGCCAGCTGACTTGCCATAAATCAGTATCGCTCACCAGTATTACTGCCTTGGAAGCAGAAGCCTGAATGGCTTTAATATGGTATTTTTGACCAGGTTTTAAAAGCGATCCAAAGTCTACAGCAAAACTTTGTAACCGTCTGTTGTTATCACTCAGCTGGAAAGAGTTAATACAGCCTTACAGATCAGAAATTCACCTGTGTAGTTAAAAAATAGTTTGGATGCTTGCTGAAAACAAATATTTTAAATAAAGCATAGGAACAAGGGAAGTCAGAGAAGCTATGTTGAATATGCTGAAATACCTTGTTTAGAAATAAGTGATTTTGGATATGCTATAGAAGTAGTTTACACAAAGCAAAGTCATTAGAAAGTCTGATAAAGGATTCTGGTCTCTATTCATATTCTCAGGTTTTCAAAAGCTCCCCCCCCCCAAGGCACTAGTATTTAATTGCTTTTGCTTTTTAATTAGCTAGAAAATTAAGTGTCCATTTTTCCTAAAGATTTTTCTGTGCTAGGGCCTTCCCTGCTTATCTAGAGTTTTCTCTCATTCCCTGATCCTTGGAATAAATGTCACAAATGCTTTAGGCTACCCAGCCTGGCTGGAAAAGTTCCCAAACTTGACAATTCTGCAGGGTCCTGCGAGGCAGCGATCAGTTACGGTTTGCGAGCTACACTGACAGCTACTGCTGAGGAAGTGGACAGTGCAAAGGGGAGCTGTTATTCTTGTTTAAAAGCTTTGGGGGTCCCTAAAACTCATTTACTTGTCTGCCAGTAAATACATTAGTAATACATACTTAACTGTAAAAGTGTTCTTATAGAGACCTTGTTTAACACAGCACCCTACCTCTGAGGATCAGTGTTAAACCGAGCAAAAATTGTAAGAATGGGATGAATATATTGCTCACCTGCTATAAATGTCCACATTCTCAGTCTGACATTCGTTTACAGCTAACAGAACATCAGGCATCTTTTTTATTATTTCTCTGCTGAAAGCAGAGACTGAAGAAAAATGCTGAGCTTTTGATGCATCATTTTAATCACCCAATGCTTCTAAGATTTCCAGGTATTAAAAATACTCTCCATGGGACTTCATAGAGCTGCTTCCGATTATGTTAAACAATTTTGTTTTACTGGCATACCTAGATTATCAGTTACCTCCTCATCCAGATCAGCTGCAGGTATGCTGAAGAATGTAAAAACATGTGCAATAGCACAGGTAACCTCCCTGCAGTGTCAGAAATGACTGTTCTCAATATCCCATATATTAACATATATGGGATATTATATATATAATAGTACATAATATATACTATTATAGTATATATAGCATATATTATATACTATACACTATATACACACTATATATACTATATATGCTATTATAGTATATTTATAGTATATATCATATACTATATTATATATTTTAATATTATACATTATATACTACAGTATATAATATAAATAGATACTATATATATTATAACGTATATATTATATACTCTAGTATATAATGTAAACAGATAATATATACTATATACACCCTATATTTTTTAGTATGTTTATACTATGTATTATATAGATCTAATATATATTATATTACATTAGTATACTATATTATAGTATATATAGTATATAGTGTATATACACACAATAGTATATGCTATAATAGTGTACTATTATAGTATATATACTATAGTAGTATATATAGTATATAGTGTGTATGTTTATAGTATCTGTTCATATTATACACTATAGTATATAATATATACTATATACACTACTATATAATAGCATATATATTATATAGTATAGATTATTATATACTAATAGCATATATATTATATAGTATAAATTATTATATACTATTATAGTATATACACAATATCATGTGTATATAGTATATATAAAATATATAATATGTTATATATATGCTATAGTATATAATATAGACAGACATAATCAATATCTGTTTAACCACTTCTTAATCCAAGGGGGATGATCCTTCCTTTTGCATGACACTGTTTTTTAAAGCATACTTCACAACTAATCTCGATCCGGGCTATTTGAAAAAATTTGTACTTGCTTTTTTTACAAAACAAGTACAGTATGCTCTTGTCCTTTAGGTTGCTCTTTCCTACATGATAAGTGAGTCCCTGATAGTAGCTCAGTACAAGCTATTTTCTAGTTTTCCATCTGTCTATTACTATGGGTGTTGTAGTTTGTTCTACAGAGAACTAATTAGAAATGTGATTCCATTGGCAAGGATAAATGGAGAAGTAAAAAACAGGCAGACATTGGACCCAGAAGGCAAATGATTAAGTGCTACACCACCTAAATGTCTTCAAAGTCTCATGCAAAGAAAAAAAAGGCAGTAAATGCAATTGTACTCACACTCTTGGTGCCCGGTCCTCGCAAAGTTATGTGTGTCTGCCTCCAGCCATGGCCACCGTTCCTCCCCCAGACAGCTGGGCCGTGAGCACCGTTTCTCCTCACAAAGACTTGGAGGGCACCAGAATGCAGGCCGGGCACCTTGTGCCGAAACGACAGGCATAAGTCCCCAGCCTGAGCCATGTGGCCCAGCGGCAGGATAAGATGCGCTGCTTTTCCCTCTTTGCCTTCGGCTTCAGAGATGGTCAGGTACTGTCCCCCTGCAAAAGAGAAAGCAGTTACTTTGGTAAAATTCTGCTGTTTAAAATTTCAGGACCAAATGCAGAAGCATTATCAAATAAATTAAGGACTCAAATAAAGTGGTAAATAAAGCATATTGGTGCTGGACTGAGAACCAGAACTGACACATCTCCCCTGCAAGGTAAGGTTTACAGTGCTGGGCTTCTACTTACAGTGTGCCAGGTTAGGGCTTTCTTATCTAATCTCTTTTTTACACAGCAAATACTACAGCTGTTGAAAATGAAGTTCATCTGTTTCTTCATTTCGGACATCCCCTTGGTGACTGATTTTAAAACCACAGTGACACCAAAGCTACCGTGTAAAGTTATGTATCTTGTAAGCTGTGCATGTTTGCTAGTAGAAGGCCAGCATAAATGTTATGCTGTTACAGCTCTGTACCTTGCTTTTTGCTTGGAAACTGTGTTAACAGGTTAAGTCTCAAAGTGTATCCATTTGCAAATAAGCCCAGCATTTCCATTTAACCATAATTTAAACTCTTAATCTAGCTGAGATACAGAAAGTTAGAAACAGTTAGTTACGATTTCTAAAGGGCTAAAGCCTTTTCTCTAACAGTAGAAAGCTGCTACTGAACACAAGCACTTAATTCAAAACACCATTATTATCTCTGATCATGTTTGAAGTACCTTCATAAAAACACCCAGTACATGAAGAAGTAGAGGATCTCATGGATATAGCAACAGCCATTAAATGTTTTTTTTAGAAAAAAAGAAAAAATTATACATCCATAAATCCCATACACCTTTTCATGTAGGTACTTAGAACTACAATAAATTGAACTTCAAATCCTGCAGAAAACTCACACCTGTCTTTCATCTTTGAACTTTTCATTAAAACATTTTCAAGGATAACTTTCAAATTTAAACTGACCAAGGGGGGAGGGAGGGAGCACTCTTAAAAGAGAAAAAGGGAAGAAAGAAAAATTCTTATTTTACTCTTAACCTAAGAATCTATTTTTAATATATGAAAGCAGAGTATCAAAGGATCTAAGTTAAGGTAAAGGGTCCAGACAGCCTTCTTAATTGAAACCAATGCTGTAGGTTTTGATTTTTTTTCTAAATATTGCATATTAATAAGACTATATTCTTAACAGTGAAGTAGTTGCCATGCTACTACCAGGACTTGTCAAACACTTAAAAGTAAAGCAAATGATGTCTCCAATTCACTACTTCTACACCAGTTTTAAAGTTCCTTTGGCCTCAGTGAGATTTAACTAAGCCAAGTATTTTTCTGCTAAGGGCTCACGTCTGCATTTGGGTGTGAAGTGGGATCCATTTGTCCAAGTATCTGTTAAAGCTTTCTTTTTTTTTTTTTTAATGCATTGTTTTTGCATCAAAGTCACTAACTGCTAGAAGAAGAGAATTCAAATAGCTGTACCTGTTTGTTGTAGATACAATTATTTCAGCTCTGAAAGTAGTGACCTGACTCGTTACCTGCATGTGTTTCAGATAGTTACAGTGACTGAACCCAATCAATAGGAAACAGATTTAGTAAGCACAAAGCCAACATAGCTGTAGGCATGCCCCTACAGGAAAAGGTCCCCTCAAAGCAGCATTTTCTGCATGCAAGATAAGCTTATAAGGCTTCAGCATGGCACCTTTCAAAATACAGATTCTGATAAACCAATAAATGCCAAACTTTGAAAGGTGAAAGCAAACACTCAGGCGCAAGCTGTGAAAATAAATCTCTGAAACAAGGTATTCCAGACAGGAGGGAGTGGGGTGGGTGACTTCAAGGGACTAGTTTTAACAGGTTGTGTCAACAGCAACAGAACAGGCACAGGAAACAAAAAGCTGAGTGTCCCTGACTGGGAAGCAACACCAGGGAAAAAAACGTCTAAGAAAAAGCCAGTTAAAAATCATGGCTCTGGAACTTAGTATGTATTAACAACAATTTTTGAATATAGATAATTGATATGCTTTAATAACATACTGCCTCAGAAATAGAGTGGGTTTGAGTCCATTGTTTAAAACAATGGGGGAGTTATGGGTGGTCTTTTCAAACATGCCAGCCTGCATGCAGACCACGGCTCCATTTTCTGTTCTGCAGGAGGAGGGAGCTCTGCCCTTTGAGTCATCCATGAGACTCTTGAAGTGTCATAACAAGCTACAGAACACAAGAGCATGCCTGTGGGCAGTAGGCACTTCCACTTAGCCATCCAAACTGCCTGAAAAGAAGCTGCTGGGCACACCTGCCCTGCTGGCAAACGACTGTCTCATCATGGCAATGGAAGCCAGGGGCAGGGTGCCCACAGGTAACACCTCCAGGGGCCTCTCCCAGCTCCCCGGTGGCTTTGCCAAGTGTCCCATCTGCTGGGAGCACACACGGAGATGTGCAACTGAAAGGGTCTCACCTAACGCTGCCACTCCCCTGTAGGGGCTGCAGGTGGCTGGCGCACGCTCCCCTCTAACACCCATTTCAAGGTCACTTTTGTCCACCCCAAGCACACACTTAGACATACTCAGAAATTGCTGCTCATTGCCAGCCCAGTCTTCCTTCCTTCCAGCTACTTAACAATTTTCCTATACATTGGTTTCTGTAATTTAGCGTTGAATTTAATAAAATGAAGCTGAGAGATTGAACTAACCCAAGAACATTATATTTGGCAGCAGAACAAAGACTAGTCCCAGCACTTTCTTTAATTTGACTACTAATATGGAAATAATAATGTTCGCGTGGTGGTTTGAAAAATAAGCTTTGTTTCTCCATAAATAAAAGTTGTTCTCTACTCCACATTTTTGTTCTTTCTGATTCTTTTAAGACATATTTTACTAAATACACTTATTACTCTTTTAGATACATTTGTACTGTAAAGATACCAGCTAAAATTCCAACACAAAACATCTCTCAATGATTTTTTTTTTTCATTTTTTGTACGCAGAAGAGGTGTGGTTGTGAAACATATCCTATAACTACAGGGATACAAAATCTGTGCAAATGAGAGAACTGTCACCAACCTCAAGCCTGGGTAGCTCTTCAACTACAGGGTCTGCTCGTACGCGTGCGTCTTACCTGATGCATCTCTAATGGGTTCCCAGTGCAAGTCATCATCTTTGTCCTTGATCCATCCACACAGGCCACTATCAAAATTACAGCTGTGTACCAGCACACCTAGGCAGAACAGAGCAGGAAGGCAAAAGAAAGAGGTTTTAATTCCACTGGCTGAGGAACTATAGCAATTGCCCTTGAGGCTGACACTGGCACATAAACTTGAAAATAAAATGCAGCAGAAAGAGCACTAGAAAAAGAATATGCAAAAGTACTAAAACAAACAATAAAAGGGCTGCTCTTATTCCTACTAACAATTCATGCTATTTTTGTGCTTAGTCTGTTAGGAAAAGAAACTATAAAGGTTCACTTTTGTGTTTTTTGTTTTCTTTTTACAAAGCATAGCCTAAACAAGGAGCATAAGGTGCAAGAGTCCTGTAAAATGTATAAATGCACCACAAAAAAAAAAAAATCAAAATAAATCCTAAACCCCAGGCCCCAAACAGGAGATGTGATCTTACCTGGGTCATCGTTGGCTTCGAATTCATCAGCGGTAATCCCTCTTTCAATTTCAAGTATTTCAAACAGATTATTGCTCACTCCAGGCTGGCGTGGAACTGTGAGAAAAGTAGTTTTTCAGAAATGAATGAGATAAAGCTAGTTAGTGACCTACTTCCTTATCTTTAATAAAAAACGGCAAAGCAGCTCTGGGCATTGTGCTTTTCTTGGAAAATTCAATATACTTAATTATAGTTGACATGAAGATTCATAAACTTTGCGCCTAGGTGATTTACGCTGTAACATTTATCTGAACTCCATAAAAGGTGACTGCAAATCTGCTAAAGGCTCTTCTAACAAAAGCTGCTTTTTCAACAAGAAAAAAAAAATCTTTAACCTTGAAGCACACGTTTAGAGAAAAACTCCAAAGGCACTTTTTAAGCTAGTGGTTTCTCAATAAAATGAAGCCACATGAAAGCCCTTTCTCAAATTTTCCGATGCACTCACCTTCCACAGCTGTTTTATAAGAGAATTTCAACACAAAGCACTGGTACTTGGAAGAGGCCCCACATGAGATACCCTATGCAGCCAAACTCAGAAACACAGCTGAGGGTATTACCATTGTCCCTGCAAAGGATTAGAGTTCCCTGAACAATTATCAGGATTAGACTCAAGTTGAAAAGGAGGAGTTTTCTATTCAAGTGTAATTCAATTTTTTACTTTCCGATAAAGTCTGTCCTTCAGTTGTTCTCAGCTGCAAGGGGAAGGAATGCTCTCGGTCGTTTACAGGTTATTAGACACTGAGCTGCAGCCACAACAGCCTGAAATTTAAGAAGTCTTCGGGAGAGCCACGGCTGCAGAATTCAGGGAGCTACAAAGACTTCCACTTACTTCTGAAGAGTGCCAGGCTGTGTACATCTCCCGAAATAACACTCGGGTGTCAAACCTGAGAGACAGCTGAAACTAGAGATAAAGAGATTGCGCTGGCTGGAGCTGTCTGGGAAAGTTCCTCTCTGAGAGGCAGGTCTCCCGCGTAATTAATAACAGTAGCAGTGGGTTTCAGGCGCGTCCTGAGATGTTGCAGACACCTCTGACACCTACAGTATTTGTGAGAGCCTTATCTTTTAAAAACTTGACACATTTTCCATACTCAGCGCTCAAAGAAGTATCTAAACGTCTGCATATGCTTTTTAGGCAAGTGAGAACAAGAATTGAGGTGATTTATAATAAAATAAACAACCATGTTTTCAGGAAATCAAAGATAAGAAGGAACTTTTACACTAGGACAATACATACATAGGATCTTGTAGCAACCCCTCTAAATCCAGAAGACAGAGCAAAACGAAAAATAAGAATGAGGTAGCTTCCTGCTTTTTACAACTGGGACAAAATAAGCAGCCTGGTAACAGGTTGACCGAATGCAAATGTATTTTTAAAGTAGTATTACATGCTACAAATTCTGTATAGCAAAATGAAGAAGCTTGAAGTCTGTATTAATTCCTCAATATTGCAGTCATTTTTGGAATTATCCCTACTTTAAAAAAAAAAAAAAAAAACATTTGTAGATTTTAGAATACATCTATTTGCAGTCTAGGATATTAACACACAAACAGCCACAAGGGCTTCAGGTTGGTTTGGGAAGTGCAGGCCCGTTAATTTTTACACAGTTTGTACTAATATTTTGGCTATTTCGATAGGCCCCCGCAGTGAGGACCCACTTGGCATTACAGTCATGCTGCACCCCGCTCACCCCTAGCACGCGGCAGTCACCATGCAGGAGGCACATCCTCAGCCCCAGGTTCCCTGCAGCTGCCAGCAGCCCAGCCCACCTCCACCTCTCTAGTTCAGTAAAATACCATTCCTAGGCGCCTGTTAGTCTATAAACATCCGAGTTACACCTGTGCGCACGTACAGGCATTCTCCAAATTGAAGCTGGTGTCACTGACCAATAATTAAAGCTCTACAAAGAATATTTTTTCAAAACTTTTCCCTAAAGTCCTCTCCAAACGCTGTTGTCACGGGTTTCTAGAAAAACAGGTTGCGGGGCTTTAAAACAGCCCTTTCTGTGCTCAGCCCCCATGAGAGGAACGTGCACACGGTATGAAACTGAGTTACCCCAGGAGATGCAGGGCTCCGAACACGATCCATGTGTACACTTCTTTTTGCTACGACAACTCGTATGCTGAGTGGCCATCCTGGGAGAAAGTATTTGGCACAGTTATTCTCTGCAAGCTTTCCAAGCCCTTTCTGTGTACTTTATATAGCGTATCAGTGTGCTTTTCACTTTACTCCAATGGTTTGATAAAGCTTGTTAAATATAAACTTGGCTTCTTTTTCTTGGAGAACGCTGTTCGCTGTGAGCGAGCCAATGCATCACCACCACCATATTCTCAAAGTTAATTAGTGTGAGCTCTTCATGGATGCACGTATGTGGGGGGCAACATTTAATAACTGCTTAAGACTGATTTCTTTTCAGCTTTTTAATCCCTGGGGAAACAGTAGGACTTTTTTTTTTTCATTACTTGTTAATTGCTGAGTTTGGGAGTGTAAGAGATGGTGTGTGCACGCCAGGCTGTTTATAATTATAGAATAATCACTGTTTTGGTGTTACAAAACCAAAACAAACCATGGAGCGCAGCTCCACATTACTAATAATTTTTATGACTGTCAGTAGTGCTGTGCTCTGCCTTACAGCAAACCTTGTGCTCTTACACAATCCCATTGCACACAACGAGCATGACCGAGCTTCCCACTTCTGGTCAAAGCAAAACGAGCAAAAAGGTGTTATTTTTTTGACTGAGTAGTTGCTACGATTAAGAGTTGTTAAATTCCACTTCTGAATGTCCCCACAAGTGAGGAGCTCTCATGCAGAACTAGCAGAGAGCAGCTAAGAGAAAGGGTAGCCCAAAGGTCAGCCAGGCTCCTCAGTTGTTTAGTACAGAGCACAGCCTCGTTTCCCCCAGGGAACACTTAGACTCATGCTGGGCTAAAGAGAAGGGGCAGCAGAGAGATGCACTTCACCCTTTTTATTCGGATACCCTCAGTGTCCTGGCTGTGTTGCCTAAAGCTCTGCAGATTCCAGCTTTGCAGTGAGAATGACCTGAGGAATGGCTGTGGTGGCTGTCCCACCTCTCTAAGACCACTTGCATAATGGTGAGAGACGGTGCTGCTGTGTGACCGCTCTGAAGTCCCGTCCCGCATTGCTGAGGCAGTGAGAAGGCTCCTTAACTCTGGCCTAAGTCAAACATCTTTTTGTATATGTTTCCGTAAGGTCCTGTGAATAGTAACCTGCTTTTCTATGAGGAGAGGTGCAGTGACAGCTCAGTTTGTGGGAAACACGGCTAAAATACCTAGCCTACAGCAGCTCGCACATCAGATCTGGGGATGTAGCTAGGTGGAAGATGGATGGAGGGTGTGATTTGTGAGACTCCCAAATCTTAGGGTTGAGCTCCAGAGTACAAACAGGAACAAAGGGCCTCTCTTAATTGCTTAAATATGAAGATGAATACATTTTAACAGGGTGCCAGAACAGCGAGGACAAATTAGCTGCTATTGCAAAATGATGCTGCTCCAGTGATAGCAGGGAATAACAAGACCCCTGTTCTTGCTTTTAGCACTTCCCTTATTTCAACGGTTTCGAGGATCACGTAGCTGCATTTACTGCACTAAGGACTTCTCAGCCATTGAAAGGGGCAGCAAAAAGAATCGTTTTACTCCTATCTTGAGATCTCTTTAATAGCTGTTATGAGAAAAGACTCCCAATTCCGATCCTTTCGGCTCCACTAAGGGCTAAGAAGGAAAATTGCTGAACTATCTTTAATGCAGATAAGGGGTTTTGTTCTTGCTCTGCTGATACCCAGTGTTATGCTTTGTCTTTAAGCTTATGCTTTTAACGCTTGTCACCCAGATCCCAAGGGTAGCAGAAATTCCTGGCCTTACTGAGAATTATGTTCTCTTTCTTAGACTTTAGTCCATCTCAGTAAACAGAGGAGATTCCTCTGTATTTCACTGCAGTTTGTATGAGCCCTGAAATAGTTAAATATTAAGCCATTGCTGCATTCCTCCCTCATTGCCATTCCCCCGTATCCATATCAGCAGAAGATTATCCTTGGTGCCAGATTCCACTGTCTGCATCTCACAGAGTGGTTCAAAGGCCAAGTGTAGGAATTCCATTTTAAAAAATACTCATTTTTTGTTCTCTGAAAGAGCAGCTCGGCACACTCATTACAGGCACTTTTAGAAACAGGGTAAAGCATCTAAGGAAATGCAGCAACCCAGTACCTGTCAAAAACTGCAAAGGTATTTAAATAGCATTATCAGCAGAGTGCTTTGTGCTCTTTGTTACCACCTGAACACACCAATCTCCCTGGTCCCCAGCTGATTTCAAGCTGAGCAGCACATTCGAGAGTGTTGAGAAGTGAAAGCTTAGGAGAGGTTTGCCCGGCGTGAGATGACAGGTCACATAACAACAACGGGAGAAAACTGAGAGCGAGTCACCAAGAGCAAGCTCTGGAAAATGTAAAGTAATGAAAAATTACGATTTGAAAGATGCTTATGGAAAGCAAGTACGCTTGCCCAGGCACATTTCCTCTCCTGGACTAGACCACCAGAGTGTTTGCAGTATTCGGTGCAGTGCACGAGGCCATCTCCCAGCGTACAGCACACCAGCCACCCCTTTTGCCACAGACTGCCTAACAGAAGTACCACATAGTCAGATAGCTAACCAAGGCAGCGGTTACTGTCATGCTGCTTTGCCAAAGGCTTCAGAGCCTGACAAAAAAAAAAAATAGAAGTTCATCTATCACAAGGTAACCTCGTTTAAAAGCACAACTTTAAAGATGGAGCTCATATGCTAAGGGCTGGAAGCTCTGCATCAACAGTGGTTGTTGGCTGCACTGCTCTCCGTTCTGGGTTTTGCCCCTCCACGTGATAAAGCACCACCTTTTGTGACTCGTCAGGATACAACAGCCTGCACTGACAAGCAAGGAAGTGGCCATCGAAACCCTAAATCCTACCTCTTGCTCTGAGTGGATCTAGCATGAATTTCCTCCTCCATTGTCCAAGCCAACAAATGTTAGGAAATGACTGAACAGGCTGCCTGCATTCCCCCCTGGGAAATAAGGAAGGCAAGAGCGAGGCTCTCTCTCCTCTTTTCAGGCTGGTGCACTGGACCAGAGCACAAACTCCTTTTTGAGAACTGGTTTCTTAGCTGCCTCGACTGCAGAAGTAGAAGATCTGAGGGAAATGAACCTCAGGAGCCTCAGTACAAGCCAAATTAAATTAGCTCAAATCCCCGATCCAAGAACATTGCAAAGATGTCTGATACAGATGAGGTTAGTAAAGTTTAAAGAAGGTGAAGGAAGCAGTTGTAAAAGCCCTTTCCCTGAGGAAATACAAGGGGTAGTGAAAACAAAAAGATCTGCACAAACATTTTTGGAGGTGGGGAGCATCTGGCACATCCACACGGCAGATAAGAAGCACATCAGAGGTCAGCTAAATGTTACTAATTAGTTCAGTTTAAAGTTCTGTACTGTGGTAACATTCCAGCCATTCGTGTTGTGTTTGGCCAAGAGGAATACTTTTGGAGAGGCCCTGGCTTGTGTGATGTGGGAGCACTGCTGTCCTGAGCTCGTGGTGCCTCACGCAGAGCGGTTCACATCAGGATGATCCCTGTGCTGCAGCCTTGCAGCTGGGTGCTGCTCTCCCACGGGGCTGGCCGGCAGCACAGCCCCATAACTTCTCCCCTTCCCCACAAAATCCTACAGTTACGGGACTCGGGAGGCAAGCAACACCTTGCTCTGCAAGAAATGCCTTCCTTTATGAGGCAGCACTAGAACTGCTTTGCACTCGACTATAGGTTTCCAATCCTAGACAAATGCTTTTGTGCACTCGCTGATTAAATCTCTTTGGACAGAGAAGGTGGGAGGGGACATCAGTGTCTCCCACCTAGACGACTGCTGCAAAGTAGCATAACTGGGGGAAAGAAAGGTACCAGCTTCGTTAAGGATCATGCCTCTAGTGCCACACAAATTCCTACACCCTACAGCACATCTAGAGTATTCCAGTCACTCAGTTATGTCACACACCTACGTGTATCAAGGATTTCTTTAGCAGGGGATAGAGCCAGAAATAACATGGGCTTAAAGACATTGACTTGATCTGTCCCTATACTGCCTGCTGAAGCCAGTAACAATTGCTGGGTTTGATGCCTCTGGGAATCCTGCTTACTGTGCACCGAAGCCTTCGAAGCTATGTATGGACACCACAGACCTCAAAGGGTAGCAGCTAACCTATATAAAAAAATAAAAAATACTTTTCAAAGATTAACTTTTCCCTCTCCCATGTCTGTTATATGGAAAATAGCGTAAGCTTACAGTTAGGAAACAAACTTGAACACTTTTACTTGCCTACTTTCCAAACTCCTACATCCCAAACATTCATATGGAAAGCACTAGCTTCGAAATCTAGCCTTTGGAGAGATTAGAGCAAACACTAATTAAAAATAAGCTTTATGCAAGTGATTGGTTTTACCTCATGGAAATAGCTGAAAGTTATCCCCCTGCTTGGGAATTCCAGAGAATACTCGCAACACAAGACAGCCTGGGAAGCACAGTGCCATAGCCTAGACTAATTTCCACAGAACCCAGCATTTTTAACTATTGGTTCCCATTATATTAATGTTCAGGAGCCTTTACTGTTTGTTTGTTTGTTTGTTTTTTTTTAATTTTATATTAAAATATTATTTAACTGAATATATTATTTGAATTGTTTAAAAACAGTCTGGAAAAAGCCAGAACAGGATTTATCTTCCCAGATTGTTAGTCAGTTTTTGTCTCTACTTTGAATTTATCAAATTGTCTACAGCAGACAAAATACCAACAGAGAAAACAAAACATTTTTTATGAGGAAGAAATTATTTCACTACGTCATGGTCTAAGGGAACACAGCCCAACAAGTTATTTCATAGATGCCAAAGCAACCAGAAAAAAACTCCCACATTGCTTGTACACCTTCTCTGAGACAGCAAATTTCCTCCTCCTCCTCCATCACTCCTGCAGCTTCATTGTACGTCACGCTGAAGGAAAAGGGCTGATCCAACACACCCTCCCCATCTCTAAAATTTGCAGCAGAACTAAAGATAAAATTGGGTGTTGAATGTTTCTTGGCAGCTGTATGCAACTCTGCATGTGCCAGTAGAACCATCTGAGGCACGCACTAAAGCTGGCGTAGAAACAGTGCTGTGTCTTTCAGAGCAGTTCTTAAAATGACATGTCCTCGTGCTAGGGGAATCTTTAGTATCCTCACCTTTTACATATCCACTTTCAGAGATGCAGTCCATAAAATTAGCCTCCACGATATTTTCATGCAATTCTACATTTGCTTAGTCATAATCATCCAAGGCTATTTGGATTCATATAATACAGGCAACATAACAGAGCCTTTAGGAAATGGTCCCAATTTACCATTACCATTCTTAAAGCTAAGGAAATATGCTGTCAGTGAGCGACTCTCAAATCCCTGATTTTTGAATCTTCTGAGTATAAGTTATGATTGCATTTCAATTATTTTTCAATAAAATGCCTTTCCTTTCTCCCTCCAAAACTTTCGTCTGAAAATGTAAATAGGTTAAGCACTTACAAAGGACAGTATACTCACAAATAATTCAGGAAGGAAAACTGAAATTTTTGGTTGAATTCATCGAGAATTTTTTCCCACATTTTTGTTATGTCATAGAAACAATTATTTGTGCAGCTTTACCACATGATCAGTTTCAATCCATGTCTTTGTTCTCATTCATAAAATATTCAATAAAAAAAAAACACACACACAAAATAGTACAGTGAATGCTTTCACTTCCCACATCTACAGTTCCAATAAATGAAAGGCTATGTAAATTTACTTACTGAACACATCTCCTCGGGGTTTCTGAGGATCTATCTGGATTCTGTTGTCATCTGTAACTCCTTGAGATGTTGTTTCAATGGGAATATGTGAAGGATATTGGGTTGTTATCACAGGAGGTCTTTGTGGTGGTAGCGTGGGTCTTAACGTTGTAGGCTGAGGTGGTGTTGGAGGTGGAGGCCTTGTCACTGGCTTTGTTACTGGCCTTGTTGTCACAGGCACGTACCTCGTGGTTGGCCTTGGTGTGGGTCGAGTTGTTGGCCTTGGTGTGGGTCGAGTTGTTGGCCCGGCTGTTGGTCGAGTTGTTGGCCTTGCTGTGGGTTGAGTTGTTGGCCTTGCTGTGGATCGAGTAGTTGGCCCAGCTGTTGGTCGAGTTGTTGGTCTGATCACCGGCCTTTCTGTAATGATACAAATGGTTTGAGGGGTTGATTTGTGCCTCCAACATGAGAATGCTATTGGCTACACCAGGGCCTCCCTTAGGAAGCATGCTGTTGCTCTTGAATGTATGCTACAGACCAGGTGGCTCAATCATAGTATTAGGAATAACCGCAGAGAGAATCAAAAAGGGACCAAAATGCACATCTGAGTCTCTCGCTCCAGAAACTTAAGAATATAGTTCATTGACATGAAGAGTCTTTGCTGAAATAATTTCTCTTCTTCTGAATGTTTCCACTAATTAGATACATACTTTAGCATCAATACTACCGAATTTTCTGTACTTCTCATTACAGTATTTTACAGATGATTTGGAATGACTGAAGGCACACAGGGACTTCCATCCCCACCTCCTCCCAAGCATCAACGCTTTCAGAATTGGCAAAACATACCCAAACGAGCTGGAAGTGAAAAAGCATGGACAGGAAGGGTAGATCTTAAGCCATGCTGTAAAACTGGACAAGTTTTTACTCAGGAGCAGAGCAAAACTTAGTAACACTCCAATGTTACCACCATTTTGGTCATGAACGGGCACATACCTTTGGCTTAAGAAAGTATCTTCCAGGCCTCTCCGCTTCCTCACAACACTTCTCCTTGTCAACAAGCATTAATCACATTACAGACACTGAACCTAAACCAACTAGCTTTCATTTAAATCCTCTCTTTGCTGAACACCAGGAAAGTACATGTAAATGTTTTTTTTTCAGCCTCCACAAAAAAGAAGAGGTAAACCGAGCACCACCTACGACACAGTGGCATTGCCTGCTATTAATACCACCTCCCTAACATTTCATAAAGAAAGGACAACAGATTTTAATTTTGTTTCACAAAGGGAGTTTCTATAGACACGAAATGCAATGACATCTGTTTTGTTATTTATAATTTACGCTTTGTTAATAAACCTTTATATCTCACTGGAGTTCTTAAAAGCCCCAGTAAGAATTCCAGTCACATATTGCGTGTACAAGTGTTTCAAGTATACAACAGAGTTAAAATGAAGAACTGACTCTTTGTTAAACAATGAACTGTTTGATGATATCAGGGAAAAAATTTCTCTCTCTAGCCACCTGCTTACTACTACTGGTTTGAATAGCCTGCAGATTTTACATTATGGTGCGTTAAAATGTCAAATACACGTTAGGACTAAGCATGTCCACATACAATTCAGGTTGTGACAGATCACCTTGGCAAGACCACAAAACCATGATAGCTTTAGCTTTTAGCTAGGTTTTAACCGTCACAGCTTCCAGTGGTACTGCTCCCTAAAGAGATGGGTGAGTCACCAACGACCAGAACCCACATACAAACACAGGGTCCTCAAAAAGGTTCTGCAGATCTGTCATAGAGCTGCATAGTCGTGAGGGAGGACTCAGGAGAGCTCCAGCAGCCTGTTCAGTACCAAAGGGGATGACTGCTGCTCCCAGCAGGGACATGAGGATGGGAATTCTCTTGCAGGGCACTCATCTAAAGAAATCCTCTCTCTCGGCTGTGCTCAGATCTGGGGAGCAGCGGGGAGTGGATGTGGTAAGCTGCTGAAACGGGCATGTTGCAGGACGAACATAATAGCAGCGTGTGAGTAATATGCACTGTTTGACCAGACCTACCCTGCTTACTCACTTGTCCTCATTCTGAAGCAATCTCTAGAATGAAGCTGTGAATAGGGTGAGGTGAATTTCTTTCTAATTATGAAAATGTCTCAGAGAGAGGTATTTTTATCAAAGCATGCAAAGACTCAGAAAACTCAGACTACATTCCCTGGCCTTTCTTAAAGTATTAAAAATAGTTGGAAGAAACTGAGCCTGATAGTGGGATATCTCAAAATTTCCAGCACAGGATTCATGGACACATTTGCTTTTAGAATTGCTTTTTTAAAAGCAGTGTTACGTACGTATGCAGTTTGTTCCGTTGTCTCTGTACCCTTCTTTACATTTGCATTTGTACGATCCTGGTGTATTGTAACACCGTGAAAAACTACCACACTGATGCTGGCCAAGGGCACATTCATCTATATCTGCAACAGGAAGTTACAAAAAAAAAATTAATCATTTACATTAAAGAAATCTGACTTTCTGCTTAACCCTGTAAAAACATGAACAGTAGTATGATCATTAGGAAAAATACAAATTTCAGAAAATTCAATAAAACTGAATTGGCAGTAGAAAAAGGAAACCAGCTGCAAATTAATGTGGTGAGTTTAGGCATACGCACATTCTCAGTCACCCAGGTATTAAAATGTTTTATTTTTTTCATAAAATGTTTCTTCTTTATTATAGATCTAGGTAGAAACTGCCTATACGACATTTCCATGTTGCTAGTAGTATGACTAAAATCTCCAAATTCTAGTGCTCTGCACAGAGATTTCTCTCAAAAAAGCATACTTAAACATAAACCAATACCTCATTATCTCCACACGATCCTTTTTTCAGTGAAAGGATCATAACCATTGAGGCCATGGGAAACTAAGACAGTGGGATCTGGGAACATCTCTGTTGAAGGGCATCCACCAGCTGCATTCCAGTCTCATGTCCAGACAAAGACAGGTTATTTCCCAACCCTTGCCTTTCCCCCCCATCCTCAGGGAAGGAAGGTTGTGCAGCCTGGCTTGGAAGGAGTTGGGATTGTACCCTTGCCACATTTTCTTATCTTGGATCTTGGGGCAAGCAGCAGAGCACACCTGTGTTAGAGCTCGGACATAGCCTAAGCTAACACAGCGCTCCAAACCTACAACTGCCTGTGCCCTGTGGACACAAAGGTTTTGGAAAGGAATGAGTGGAACACAAGGTCTGCTCTCCCACCAGATTTCTACGAGAGAACCAATTACAAGAATTGAGGCCAAATATATGCTTTCAGTTTCGCATTCAATCTATTTCTATGACCCATTCTTTCCTAAAATGCAGGTGCAGAGCAACCTAAAACAACCTGCTTCAACACTTCTGCCATAATAAGCAACATTTCTCTTTAAACCATTAATTTCAGTTTAGAATATGTGTCTCTGTTACACGCACATAAGAATACGTTATTACCATGGCATTGGTATTTGCCTCCAATGTACATTAGATCAAAGCCTTTATGACACCTGCAAATGTAGCTTCCAAAAGTATTGACACAGTGCCTAAATCGTGGGCAGATGACTCTTCCAGTAGCACATTCATCAATATCTGTGGAAACAAAGGAACTGCATTATTTTTCATAACAGTTAAAATACAATCTATAGTATCTATATTAAACTGGTTACACATAACAAAAAAAAATTGAAGAAGAATAGCCGAAGTATTTCCTTCTGAAAAGGTCGTGCTGGCTACAGCCAGCGGTAACACCTGAGCACTTCAGGCTGTGTCACCTCAGCTCAGCTCCTGGTCACACGCCCACATTTTTATGCTTCCCATGCCAGAAGCTTTACAAATGCTGTGAATGACAAGAGAGGCACCATGGGCACCACTACCAAAGTCTCAGCACTTGCTCTGTAGTCTTGCATCCTGGTGACCTTCCCCTTGGAAAGATGTTCTCTAACTCCCCACAGGATGCCTTCTTTGAGGCCTCAAAGCACTCATCCTTAGAGCTGTGCTGACATTTTTCTGCATAAAAGCTATTTCATGCTACCTGTATAAATTTCTTTTCTCTCATTAAGCCCTGCAAAGTTACAAAGATAGAATCTGGATTTACAGGAAAGGAATAATAAAAAATACCCCAGTAATTCTTTGTCTGGAACATGCCTGAAACATTGCTCCTGTAGCACAGGTGATATGTACCCACTTGAAATACATTACCATGCAGTAGAAAGTAATTTGCTTTTATAAAAATCTCAGGCATCCCTCATCCATGACCTGCACACCGAGCCTATCAGAAATCTTCACCTGTTTAGGACTTGCTCTACGCAAAGAGGGCAGGCTAATGCCCGGGATGCGGTATTTCTGGGTCACATACACGTAGTCCCCACAGGCTGAATGCCTTTCCCTGCAGTATGTGCACTGTAGCTGACCCCTCTGTCATGGGGATGTTGGCCACGTGAAGTGACCCTCAGGTCTCAGAGGTGCTGAGTTACGTGGCTCCATTTGTTCTGCCAGGGAGATGAAGCAACATCCAGGCAAGGAGAGAGGACTGGGAAGCCGTGTGATGCTCAGCCGACGTCTGATGCCTCCCAGCTCCCTGAAGCTGCTGTTCTTCATGCTACCTATGCCGGGCTGAGGACCCAGGGAGCAGCCAGCGCTCACCCAGGTCTGCTCTCGCTGTCTGCAGAGCTCTCGGCAGGAGACCAGGCTGAGACACAAAAGTCACGCACAGCCACTCACTCTGTAGCCCTTGGAAACCGATCTGCAGCCTGCTAAGTACTCGAAGCTTAATTCTGCACCGAGGCAGGGACCTGCCATGCACAGCTGCCTCTGACGCACACCACTTCTGACGTTCGCTGGTTATCTGCAGGGCACAGTTCAAGCCTCTGCTCTGCAGCTCTATCGGGCTCTTCATCTATGGGAAAGCAAGCTTTTGCTCTCCACATGATTCTTTTTCCAAAAAGGAGCACTTCAGCAGCAGGTGTCAAGAGTGCAAAACAAAGCTGAATGATTGATGCCTTGCTGCTTGTGAAAGAGGCTGAGAAAGCAGAGAGAAGCCTGAATCTCTTACACAGCACGGAAGAAATGTTACCATTGACATACGGTTGCTCTGACACACTCAAGGAATCATAATTAATAAAGAATGGTTCAAACAGGGAACTAAGAGAAACAAATCTTCTGGTTAATTAAGGCAGCTACCTGGGACAGGCGAGATGTAGCTCCAGGTTCTCTGAGCTGTTTCCCACAACCCAAAAAGTAACCTTGAGCCATGAGTTACTGCCTGGATGGGCTCTCCCAGCAGCAACTGCTGGCACCGTCCCACCTTGCTTAAGGTATTAGTGAGGACAGAAGGATGCAATTTCAATGCTGCATATTTCAGACTCTTGATTACTATGGTGTTTTTTAATTACTATTTATTTTTAAACCACAGCTTCAAAAAACAATTCAGTAGGAAAAAATACTAGTCACTGAGCGTATTTCATGATAGCATGGATTATGTTCTTTAAAACCTAATGGAGCGTGTCCTGCCTCTCTTTCTGTACAAACCCATTTTTTTTTGCAAATTCACGTATGGTAAGAAGCGTGCTGAGAGTGCTGTAGTCGTATTGTAGTCATATGCTCTTTACTGGTGGCAAAAATGTTTTGACCATTAGCTAGAAGGTGGCACGTAAGTGCTTACAGTTAGTCTCCTCCAGCTCTCAAACAGCACAGACTGTCGCTTCCCTCAAACCAACAGACCTGTGCCAATTCACACCTGGGCCAAATGGTGCAAGGGCTGTTTCCCTTTACCTGCTGCAACACCCTGTGGCTCCTGTGCTTCCTATGAAAACCAGGGCACGAGGGGGTGATTTGTATTCTGATCAGCCTGGTTTGCAATGGAGGCGCGTGCCCAGACCTAGCATCAGGGAGCTGCTCCAAAGGCAAGTGGTGCAGACAGAACCTCACAACTGTCGTAGTCAGAGCTCGATAGAGAAGCAGAATTACAAGCAGACTTGCTTCAATCCCACTGTGAATAAGGCCATATTACCAACCCAAAAAAAACTATGAGGCTGATTTTAAAATAATTTGGTTTTTAAGTTTATAAGAGTATATTTTCAAGATCCTGTTCACAAACAAAGCAACCAGAACGACTTTATTTTGCAGTGAAAGTTATTATTTTCAGCCCTCAAAAAACTACAGACCTTCTAACGCTTCAATGTATATATTGCTAATTTCATAAAATGAAAAACCCAGTCAAAAGAGCTGACAACATAATTTGATGGCTGATTTGCTGATTCAAGAATCCTTAATTAGTCAATTAATCCCTAGCTTCACTGAACATTTTGCTGAATTCTTTTTCAATTTGTTGTTAGCTTCAGTGATTTACCTTCATGGGCAAATTGTTCAGTTGCTCTTTACTGTCTGGAAGGATCATTTTAACAAGAGAATGATCAGCATGGGTTAAACTAAGAATAGAATAATGCCTAGAGGAATTTCCACCTGTGCTAAAAATAAGCATTAAATTCCCAGCTGTCTTTCAAATTCCATTCAAACTAGGATTTCACAAGCTGCAGCCGATAGACACTTCAATTTTCTTACCATCATCTACATTGTTATTTCCTTACTGCTTCTACACTGGTAGTATCTGTACACTCCTTGGAACTGATGTGCTCCCCAGCAATGATGGGGTTGTACACAGTATGAGGAAAAAATGAAGTTCTAGCCCCAAATAACTTTGATTCTTGGTGGTATTTACTGGTTTAGTGCAACTCGAACTTGACAGAGCAATTACACTCGAATGCACGTCACGGTCATTTCTTACCAAAAAAGAGCTCAGCATCGTGTGTGTGACCCATGAAGGACATAGGTAGTTTCTTGCTATGACTACCTTCTCTGCATTGCGTAAGCCTGCTCTGAAATTTTTGTAGATTTTAAAAACAGGATACAAGGTCAATCTGAATGATGCATACAAATTGAAATGTGGGTACACAGTTCTTCACCTTAATTAGAAAAAAAAAGTTGTTGTTTTTTTTTTAATTTTTTTAAATCTACACTAAACAACTAGTGTCATGGTGCTGGTCAGAGTATTAAACTTCTGGATTACAAGTGTATTTTGCTTATTTCAAAGTGAGTCTGAAGTTTGTTTGAACTTCTCATAGAAATGCACCCACTAGGAGAACCTCAAGTATTTTTTCTAGCAAATTCCTACATTTGGTACAATTTGTTTGAATTCCTACTTAAAATCACTCAGCTTACTACAACATGGTACAAGTCTTTTGAAAGATCTCTATCTGCCATGTCTACAGTGAGACTAATCAGTACAATCTCTTTAGCATGTGACAATGGTCTTTATTTATTTTTTTTCTGATTGCTATACCCATTCTTTTGCATGTGTAGACATGCCAATTACACTCTTACAGCTGAGCCTGCTCCTCACATCAAAAGATCTAGATTCTGTCCCTTGCTCTGCCACCAAGTTCTCGGTCGGCATGGGTAAGTCACTTTCAGAAGAAGTGACTTTCACCTCCCCTGTGGATAGCCATGGCACCTGAGTGAATAATGAGGGCATCCATACTCTCTTACGTTCTTTCAGTACAATTCTGCATGGTTGCTAGAGGTTATGGAACAGTAGCACTGCATAGGATATAAATAGCAAAATCACTGGAGCATCATGCCTACTCAGGATGTATAGTTAATGACTAAAGAAATCACGTCACGCTGTTCTTCAGACCATAGTAACGTGTGGCACAATACAGTCTGATTAACCACGAGCACCTCTTCCATGTTCAAGAATGTAAGAACAGTATATTTCACTTCCATATTGTATGAATTCCTGAGTTTAACTTGGAGCTTTCACAGTTAGGCAAGAAAGACAGGAGCCTAAACTGAACTCTCTATACTGAGTTATACTTGGTTATCCCAATCCTTATCAGCAATGTCTTTAAACTGCATGGATAATGCTTTCAAAATACACCTGATAAACTCTTGAAATGCATTTAGGGTAAGGCTGAAAACAATCTTGGGAAAAAAAAAAAAAAAAGAAATGTGCATCTGATCACCTACCTATGCAGGTTCTACCATCAGGCCCCAGCTGCAGTCCTGGAGAAGGACAGCGGCAGCGCACTTCTCCTTTCAGCACATCACAGCCATACTGACAGTTTGCCATTGAGCAAGAAAGGGCATCTAGGGGAAAATAATTGAACCTGTTAGATAAGGAATCTGACCGGAACCAGAAAGTCACTGAAATCTTTGGAGAAGTAAGACACAGTACAGATACAATGGAAATGGAGAAACACCTGTAGAATTTGACAGGTAGTCATTCTTGCCTTAAAAGCGCAACTGCAAAAAAAAAAGACAAAAACCAAAACGCCACAGTTGTAGTAAGTTGTGTCATGGAAAGTAGAGCATGAAAAGTAGGAACCTCATCTCCAGAGAGATGACAGTACAATTTTATACCAGTCAGACAACCAACAGCTGCAGCTTTAATGATTTTACATTTATAAGGACATAATACAACAGAACTGCAGGTGTCTTGCTGCAATGAAAACAGCAAGCACTTGCCTCTGAAGGACAATTACCAGTGATTTACAGCATTGAAGAATGCTTCTGGGAAAACTTGTAATAAAACTAATAAAATCAAACTATTTGCTCGTGTTTTGTTCAGCCTAATTTCATTAGGGAAAAAAAAAAAAGCAGCTCATTTTATGCAATTGCTTGATTTCCAGCAAGATTAATCTTTTACTGCAGGACTCATCTTAATTTCATAAAAGTTTCCCAGGGAAGCCCAAGCAGGGATCTTGAGGAGATTACAAAAAGAAAGCAAGAAGCCTTGCCGTACTGGAGCACGTTCCGTCCGGCATCAGCATGTAGCCGTTCAGGCAGTAGCACTTGTAGCTGCCGTAGGTGTTCATGCACCGGTGTTTGCATGGCCGGGGCTTCAGTCCACACTCGTTTAGATCTGCAACAAAGAGTACAAGGGAAGGGGACGAGAAATAAAAGCATAGTAAGGATGTGTGAACAGAAATACGAGATCAAATTCCTGGAGGAAGAAGGAAAAATGCAGCAATTAGCTTTTTAGATGCAGTCCAGCTGATAGCAAGTGTTCAGAACAAACTGCACGAAGCGCTGTTCAGTCCTCCTGCCAAGTGGAATATGTTTTTCTGTTTCACCTTTTCAGAAAAAAAAAAAAAAAATTAAACTAGCAGTACTAGCATTAAATTAAGCACTGACAGAAGTTTCATTAGCACGTGTACAAGCTCAGGCTGCCCAGATCTTGCCACTATCCATGTTGATCTGATGACCCGGACCAGCCAGAACTCCAGAGGAGGAGAAAGCAAACATCACTGCTGCAATCGCTATCAGCGAGGCTGATAGTGATTCAGTGATTTGCTATCATGCTTCAGAATTAGTTGCAGAGGAAGGCAGGAAAACCGATTTGAAGCTACTTAAAACAATCTCATGGAGAAAATGTTTTCCTTACCACCTACAAAAGACTGATAAAACTACCTGACAGCAGGGATATTTCTCAAGGACTATGCCTAAGGGCTAGTATTTCAGATTTACAGTTTAATACAGAATTCATGACTTAACTTGTAAATATTCAGCCCATGATTTTTGTATCAGTTGACAGGGCTTCTAACAAGATTGTCAGGAAACCCTTCAGAATTCTCTTCCAAGAATAAGTTAATTTAATTGGGTACAACAGAATAATTCTCCACAGAACTTAGTTATTTGTATATTGACAAGTAAAGATGAAAATATAGGTGAACATAATAAATGCACTCACAAATCCAGCCAGCAAGTACTTAACTGAATTACTGGCCCTCAACTCCAGCATTGCATAATGCTGCCTGGAGTGCTGTTACAGTAACAGAGAGAGTGGTATTTCCAGGAACTTTTCAAAGAGCCACTATTAAACACGTCCTCATGAAGTGTCACCACTGTGACCCAAAACCATCCTCAAGGATTTTGCTGATACCTGTAAATGAGCACTCTAGTATGTCACGGTTGGTCCCGAGAGCTCCAGAAGTGTTAGAAAATAAAAATCTATCATCTTTGGAGTTACTTTCGTTTTTATCTTCACAGAGCCAAGGAAGAGCAAGCACCGTCATATACTGCCTCTTCCCACAACCCTTCTCCTACCTGATTTCATTTTCCAAGGCCTTGGGAAGGGCAGCAGGTTAAGGGATAAGAATACCTTCTGCTCCCTTCCGCTGGGACAGAGTAATGGTAAGGGATACAATTAGAAAAGTTTTCCTAGGAAGCCCAAAGGAGAATGTTCGCTCCTACAGCTGCAATGAAGACCAGGTGAACATAGGCAGGACTTCAGAGAGGAAAAGCTGCCAAAATGAGGGCTGGACCTGTGCCCTGGAAATGAGGAGAGATGACCTTCTCTGCAGTCTTTCTGCAGAGTACACGTTGCACAAAAAGCATCCCCTTCAAACTCTCTCACTCTTCAGGAGGTTAAAAACATTTCTCCAAGCATCTCCAGAACATACTTCTCCCAGCAGGCACCGATACCAGAGTCATAAAATGCACCTGCAGTGTTAGAGAGAAACAGCTGTGGAAGAGACGGACGTTTTCCACTGTGAAACCTTCAGCTAAGAGTGCTGACTGTCAGTACAGTGTGTGCACAGGCCAAACTGGAAAGCAGATGATGATGATGATGGAGGACAAGTTATTATTGTGAAAATCTTTATAGAAAAAATATATAAAACGCTTATAATAAACTGGAGGAAGTTTGCATTTTGGGAGGCAAACTTCTCTAGGCTGCATAAAAGGCTTTTTTTTATTTTGAATTTTGTAAAAATTACTGTTCCTAATAAATATTTCAATTGCACTAACATATTTCCTACATATCCAAAACTTCTGTTAAAAAGTTATTATTAAATGGAATAATAGTGCTAGAGTTTGACTTACAATTCATGGAAGTATCTGCACTGAGCCTACACCATTGATTGAGGTTCAAGCTCAAGAATAATTTTGAATTAAGAAAAAGAAATTTTCTTAAGTCTCAAATACATATAGTTTTCCTGCTTTGTACAAAACCCATTACTTCACAAAATGAATATGTAACAGAGATAAGTATGAAATACTTTACTAGAAGTTGGGACAGGATGAGGAAAATAACGCTGAAATGAAGCTGCAGGGTAGGATTTTAATGGCACCTGTATGATCTGCAAGTGCTTACATCCCACTGCACTTCAGCTCTAAGTTGAGAAACTCCCAAAGATGCTACCCTTAAGAGCTGTCTCTCACTTACAGAGCTATTACCACAGATTCAAAGTTGCAAGATGTAAGTATTAATGGCTGTTCTCAGTTTTAAATGTGGCATCTTACATAAAGTATAGATTACATTATAGCCCCTAAATAACTGGAGTCCCACAGTACTCTGAATACTACGTAATTTGGTACAAAATATTCTTAGTGCGGAAATGAAAGCTGAGGTGTTGACAAATAGATGACTGTTAGTACCATACTCTGAGAACAACCTGATCTGGAAAGGTAGATGCATCAACTGCATTAGGATATCACATCGCATGCATTTTGTTTGTGAAATTTTGACTAAATTATTTGTTCTCTTCACTTCATTCTATTTCTGCCTGTAAATAAATGCTGTCTCATCAGTTTTTTACTCCTCTGATTCAGAACTTAAAATACATGGCCGTGAATAAAACGCCTGCACCTTTGAACAGTCAGATTTTTTTTTAACCTTGGCTGCCATCACAGAAGGCTAAGGTCACAAGGCATCAGAAATAAGCTGTTAGCACAGCTCCACACTAAATCTAAAACTCATGTGTCACGGGTTTTCACTTCTGCCTTTGACATTAGCTATTGGGAGGATGATGTTTTTAACCTTATGGAGTCAGAAGAAATGCTGCTGTTCGGGAAAACACGTACTGGCAGCGCCCTGGCTGCTGAAAAGCAAAGCCAGCCTCCAAACTGGCTGTGTTAGAGCACACTGCTCAGCCCGCTTTATTTTGCCTGACGTGCAACTTGTCTTTTTCTCCTTTTCAGCAGCAAAGACAGGCACGTACTCTGAAAGCACACAGTGAGCACCACTCAGTCTCCAGCAGGCACGCTATGTAATTACTGGTAGGTCTTCCCGGTTCTCTCTAAAGGCCCGTGTGAACATGCTGACAGCTCCCTCCATCTACCCCCGTGCTCCCATAATCCGTGACAGCGTGCTTCCCGCAGAACAGTCCGGATATACTGCACGTGGATGGGGGAGCACTGAAACATTCCTGCTATTAATATACTCTATCTGCTTCAGATGTGTTTCTTGTTCCTTAAGGAAGGTCTGCTTTTTTCAAGAACAGGTTCAGGCTAATGTTAGCAGTCAGGAAGCCAGCTATAGCAGCATACCTCTTGAACACATGCTGGTTTTAAAAAGGTCGGGTTACTTACCCAAAGACATCGATTGCATACTTCAAACAACATTATATATAAAGATATCTCAGTATAAATGGCTATGCATCAGGAGAGGAAAAGAGAAAACATTAGAAGTTTCCTCTAAAGAAAAACAATTTGGAAACTAAAATGTATAAACTCAAATGTACAGATCAATTTTCACCCTGGAATTTAGAACATAAAGAGCAACACTATTAAAGCGTTTAACAAATTCCTTTAATTCCTTTGCAGGAATTCACCACCCTGTTGGCACTACGGAAGGCAGGTCCACAACAGAAGCATGGGGAGCTGAGCACAAGTATTTCATTTTTAAAGAAAAGAAAGAAAAATACGAATGCAAGGAAATGACAACATTTCTGTGCTGGAATATCCAGATGGGACTTCTCTAACCACTGTGTCGCACATGATCTTGGATAATGACCAGCTTTGGTGCATACCCAGCACTGGAGTGCTTAAGCACATCTTTCTAGGAAGACAGAGCACGCTCTACTATTATCTTTAATTAGTTTCTGCAGTAGACTCCAACACTCAAACCTTCTCTCTGCATTTTTATCCGTATTAGCTACCGCGAATCAGTAAACACAGAAGTCAAGTATTCAATACCAAGTTTACTCAGGCTGAGACAGAAGAAAGCCATCAGCCAGAAACAAAGTCAAAAAAATAATTTGTCAACCATACTACAAAAATAGTAGGTCAGCTTTCATTCCCAGCAAGTATCAACACACTACCACATTAAATGTCTTTATGACACATTTGTATCACGCTGAAGAGTTTTCCTCTCATCTCTTAGACTGATTAATCAACACCTGCCAAACGCAGAAGTTAATGATTCCCATTTTCTTCAACTTCTAGCCTTATATAAATCACAGTTTTGTCTTTATCTGACCTGATAAACATTTTCCATTGTTCTCAGTCTATGAAGGAACTTAGAAATAAATTAAAAAGTGCAGGTCCTGAAAGAAGAGCAGGGGAAAGAAACAAAAGCAGGATACAACAGTGAGCAGAGTGGAGAGTCAAGCCTTTTCAGACTGCAGGCACGCAGTACCAAGGAAATACAATCAGTTATTTGCTCTGCATGCTAATGACACAGCAGGTTCAGCTTTCACATCACAGCCATCGGTCTGTCAGCCTCCAACCCCTTTGCAAGAAATTCTGTTATTGTTTCAAGCCGTGCAGGGAGAAGGAGCACGCCGCCTGAGCTCCGGGACCATCTCACCCCTTGAAGGTGTATTTCTTGCATGCTGATCCAGGGGGTGGAACAGACGCGCTTCACTGCTCTGAGCAGGTGGACTTGTGTATGGTTGCTCACCTTCACAGGGTGGGAGGAAGGCATAATAAAAATGAAGTGACCAAATCTTTGTCATATGCATTACTTTGTCATTAAGAAAAAAAAAAAAAAGGGAAAAAAAAGGCAATGACAAGAATTGCTTTACAAAAAAAAAAAAAAAACACAAAGAAGTAAACTTTTGCACTGTGTTCCTGGAACAAACAGAATAAGAAGATAGTAAGTTGCAGAAAAGATACTTTATATTCTTTATATAAAGACAACCTTTCCCTACCACAGGAAGTGACCTACACATGCTTCCAAATATTGGTAAAAATTGCAAGTTTTCAACTGCTCATATTTGTCTGTGAATATAGATCTTATTGAGGAGTTGGTATTAATTTTCTGGTGAACACGTTTTGGAAGAAGTACTAGTCCCCCTGTTATTACTATAAACCAGAGAGCTGACAGAGGGTATTTTCTTTCAGAAGGCTCAGCTTTTTTCTTAATTGGTTAGAGCTGTTAACCTGGGATTAAAAAGCCAGAAGGGAAACACTGAAGTCACTTAGATTTGAAAGCACAGGGGTGAGAGCATGGTTATCTATTGTACAAAGTCACTTCAGTAAATTGCTGACAATGGCAATGTAATAAGAAAGATGATCCTAATTCCTGAGTGATCTAAAGCGAGGTCTAGATTGCCACTGGAAAGGGACAAGCCTTCAGGCACCATCACACTGTCCAAGTTCAAGAGTCCTGCTGTGAGGCTGCATAGTTCTTTTGGGTTGATCCATGGAATATGGCTTTATCTTTGAGGCCTGTGCCTGTTCATCAGCACTCATACTCAAAGAATGTCTCTCACCAAGAATCTGAGCACACTTTAAAGCCCAGTGCCATTCGCATATCCTAGAAAGACTTCCACCTCTGCAGAACTCCAACATTGCTTCTGCCGACACCGTTAATTTCTGTTATTACTAATTATTATTCTAGAACAGAAATGAGAAAGATATCCCCTAGACTGAACAGGAGAGCTGCTATATGAAGGAATAATAACACAGGTCATGCTTACCCTGTATGTAAGAGGGCTTCAGGAGGTGCCCACACTTCTAATCCACCCAGCCATCCAGACTGGGGGGTGGCTGTGCCATGCTCAAGTCTGTGGCAAGAATGCATACCCTGACCTCAGGAACAGCCATATAATGTAGAACAGACGTAGACTGTAGTGACCTGAACTGATGTACCTTTGGGACAACACCATCAGGCATCTCAGAAATCTCGTGGACGTATGTCATGGCAACTTTGTCCCCAATAGCATGCAAGAATATTCGATCAATACTGGCTAAAAGACTTACTTTAATCATTTATCATACTTTTCTGTCTTTGGTATTCAATGGAAAGTGAATAGATCAAGCCTACAGTCAACCAATTTGCACAGCGTTCTGATATTGTTAAAGCAACCAATACTTATAATTACACATACATGTAACAACAGCACTGTTTTCTGAAAAAGTTCCAGACTGACTGAAACAGGCATAGAATAAAATCATATAATCCTATCCTTTACAATCAGTCCAGAGTAAAGGGAGATAAAATAACTTGATAGATGACAAAATAAACGAATCTTCAAATAATCCTTTTTTGAAGGATTAGTAAATCTGAAAACAAACATATAACTATTTTTAAAGAAAACAATATAAAATCAACACATCAAAAGAAGGTTAGCAACACCAGGGTACATTTTTAAACAAACAAAACATTTTAGTTCTTCAGGTAAGATTTTTCTACCATACTTCCTCAGCACTATCAGAAAACATATGGACATTTTCTGTGGGCTGGGACAAATGAAAAAGAGAAGCGTCTTAATGAGATAACTGTGTATGTGAGCAAGTCTTAGGCAACAAAATCTAATTCTGTATTACAATTTTGCTTTATGCTATATGATCCTTATACTGCTACATGTTTAACAATCATTTTTTGAAAAAAACAAAACAAAACACAACAAAACAATGAAACTAAGGTGATAATTCAATAAGATAACACTTCACCCTTCCAACTTTTATTTACACAATGCAATTTATTGCTAGCTACCTCATTCAGGATTACAAACACAAAAAATGAGAATGAATCCAGGAAATAGTTTTTAATTTAAAGAAATGTTATTTCACTATCGAAACCTGAGCATTGTGACCTCATGAAATAACAGTTCTGAACACAAGATTACCAAATTACCTGATTCAGATTCAGGGCAGCAGGTAGATACATATTTGATGTTAATCACATTAATTTCATGTGAACAAAAGCAACTGCTTTCCTTGGATTATCCCACTGAAGATGTCATTTTCTCCACAAACACAAGCCCCGTATCAGAAAACTATACAGCAATAACAGAGCTGGTGTATGAGTTTGTTACCCTCTGCCTGCAGGCAACACACACAGCATTCGTGGGGGTGGGAGTCACCAATACCTTTGTGATTTCACAAAGAAATTCTCTTTCTTGGACTTCACTTTCTTACCTTGATTGCAGGTTTTTCCAGTGTATCCCGGGTGGCACTTGCACTTGTTTGGCCCAACGCATTCACCATGTTTGCACCCTGGCTGGCATATAGCTGCAAACAGAAGAACACTCATTACTCTTCCACTCCAGTCCCGACTGACAGTGCATTACTTTAAAACAAATGGCAACGACCTAACAAAAATTGTACCATTTATGTTCCTCCCTTGAGCACCATTATGTGTCTCAAATACCACTGTTCAAACAACAGATGCACTTTCAAAAAAAATTGCCACCCCAATACACGTGGGAAGAACGAGATCCTCATTAGTATTCGATTTTTGTACAGCAGGAGGTTGTGCTCTTTCTGGGATATTAAACTCTTTTAGTACCTCATCAGCTCGCAGACAGCGTGCCTTCACTTGTGCTGCGTGTTAGTGTGCTGTGATTCACGTCGCTACATTTGGTAAGCCTGGAATATGCCCTGGCTATACAGGAATGTGTGCATCAATGTCACAGCTGACATGCAAACCGAGCCATGGTTCAGTCACCAGTAGCAACAGTACAGCTCCTAGCATTCACAGGTAAGATTCTTCTGAGACTTCTAAGCAACATCCTTTGTCCACTTATTAACAAATGTTTTGCCTGAATCTGTCCCTCTCAGGTGTTTGGATTCTGGCATGGGAATTACTTTTATTTTTCTTCTTTTGGAGAAAAAAATGGACTGGGTAAAAAAACCTATAATATGCTGCTTTATCACTGCATGCATCCAAGTCACTTCCACTCTGAGCATTTCATGCATTTATTACCAATCCTGCTGTACAAATACACTCACAGAATGTGAATTTATGTTCTATTTGCTTCCAAAGTCAAGTTTGCCAGGTAATTTCTAATTCCCCAGATGGAGCACAAATACAGAACTCCAAGAAGCAATAGTTAGGAAACCATCTTTGGTACCTCCCTCAACATAACACAAATAAAATGCCTAAACTTTTAAAATAACATAAGCACTGCTTTTGAAGAAACATAAGAATTCATCCACAGATTTATTTCTTCTGAGCTAGGATTATTTCTTAGATGCTAACAGTAATATTTACAGAGTGCTAGGAATCCTGCATAACTCTGGAAACCATTTCATTGCTGAAAATTTTAAATATTTCCAAGCCTTTTTTACTAAACTTATTGTTTCAAGCTAGTGGAAAACTGAAATATTTAATAAGCTCTAAAATTATGTTTATCATTCTATGACAGGATGCAGATGTACAATTTTAGTGAGCTTACTGCTTAAGCAAGACAGACACAAATGAGAAAGAAATCAGAGGGTGGCATAACTCAAGTACTCTGTAATTAGGAGTTATTATTTACCCTAGCTTTACATTCATTTTCTAAGCTAACAGTATCATTTGGAATTTGCAAAGTAACTAACTAAACCCAGCTGTAATACTCATTAATCTGACAACAGCCTATATCATAAAACTGAATGTATTAAGGATCTAATTTAATAGAAATCTGTCAGAATGCACTCACAAATGCAGCTTGCGTTATAGCCAGGCTGTTCAACAGGGTTGAATTAAACATAATTAAAACAGAAAGAAGAGATTAGTTATGGTTATGAAAGAACTATGCAAATACATCTCTGATGTTCTAAAATCTTTTCCACAAGATGGAAAGCATCCAGAATTAGCAGTTCCCACAACTGCATCCACAGAAGCAACTGTTAGCACAGAACGAGCTTGCTCCAGTTTCAGGACTGCATTTGCCCTCTACTATTATCAGGGCATTTTTTTTTGTTTAAATATTGGACAAATATGAACAGTCATATCCCCAAGAACACAAGGCTTTGTTTTCAATCTTCAGCACTGCTCTTTGTGGATCTTCCTAACACTTCTGCAGTTTCTTCTGTAAATCTGTTTTTAGGAACATCTTAAAAGACAACAGAGTGGGATGTTTTTAGTTAATGCAAAAGCTTTCTTCCTATAAACGCTGATCAGAAACAAAGAAACAGAAACATCACCCAATTAGAGAAAGTGGCTATAGTAGTTTAGTAGACTGCTCAATGCTCTGTTTCAAAAAGTGTGCCCTTGGGTGATGGGCAGACAACTGAAGAACAACTGATATATCATGAAAAACTTCTAGAGCCTTGTAGTTGGAAACAATTACTGCTTTTTTAATCATTAGTCACAAACAAGGAAAAAAAAATACATGCACTGCATTAAGAACTCATTTAGACCCAGTGACTCTCATCTTCCTGATACCATCTGCCCTGGTTTAACCAGAGGTAATGATGGCAAAATGAAGACTATGAAGACCAAAGTCCATGACTTTGAAGTCACCAGGGAAAAAACAAACAGATGTGATTACACTAGTGTAGAAACAAAAATGACTACCAATATGTTTCCATGAAATTTCAACCATCCTTTAAAAAAAATCCATATTGTGAAGTGGGACACAGTTTAGTTTAGCTGACATTAAAAAGTCTTAGTCCCCCCCTTAAATGTATAAAGCAGACATTAGTAGCAGCTCAGACTGAGAAAAAAGATCTTACACCTGAAGACAAAAAGCCTTACACAATTTAGAAATGGAAATTTTTCTAACTCGGAAGGTCTGGTATCTGTACTACACCAAAAATTACGTAGCAGCATTAATAAATAATTATAATTATGAATAATTAGCTCTTAGCATTAATTAAATATCTAAAGCAAATGATATAGAACAACCATGAGGGATCTCATAGCTGTATAGCTTGTATATAACAAACAATGGGATCTGTGGCATCCTCAAGGAATCATTAGTTCGATACAGCTCAACCAACTTAGCCCCATCCTAAGGTTCCATTTGCACAAAGTCAGTAACGAAATCCAGGTATAAAACCAGACCTGAGCCTGACTTTCAGCATTTCATTTAATAGCTGGCAATTATTTCAGTTCTCAGGTAGATCTCTAGATATACATGACATATACTGATATAACTTGTTTTTCTGTTTGTTTTTTAATTTTCCAATCTACTTATTTTCTTGCATAGTTCCAGATACTTTGCTCACACATGAATAGACTGAGTGCATCACTTTTTTAATACAATTAGACTCATAAAGAGTGAAAAATAGCATCTCACAAACTAATATTCTCTGCACCTTGACATGTAAAAGATGCAGAGACCCCCACAATCAACCTAAATAAAACAAACGGAACATTAGATCACCTCAAACTTGTAATGACTTGTAAAAAGACTGAAATAAGCCATGTCCATGGACTTCAGACTGCTGCTTGACCTCATTTCCTTACTGGCCAAGGAGGAAATGCAGACATTGAAGAGCTACACCAGGCTGACAAAGTCACACTCTTACAGGCTTACAACAATAATATCCAAAAGACAAGGATCTGGAGAGGTTACCAAAGAGAAGCAAACAAGTCTTTATAATAGCAAATGTTTTAAACAAAAGTTAAGAGGACATAGGTATGCTTGTTGTATAGACAAGCTTGCCACTGAAAACGATTGCTAATTTACTGTTGAATCAGCATCAAGAAAGTTGGAAGATTTCTCCAAGAAGTCCTCTCTGAAAGCATTTAAATGGGCACTCCTATAGGACAGTAACATGGATCAAGATGGAAAGAAATCCTAAGCACAGCTATCTTCATGATTAGCCAACTGTTGCTGATTTATCTAGGCCAGTGAATAAACTACAACTAAACTTTGCAGTTCACTTTGTTGCCGGGTTCATTCAGGAGATATCAAAAAATGAACACTGCTCTCATGATCGTTTATTTCAGTCTGAACACTTTATATCATTTTTTGGGCCAGATATGAAGATTTGCTCTGCCTCGGTTCCCTCTGACTTCAATGGGAGTCAAGGATGTACGTATCCTAAAGACTTTTACTTGGCCAACTGCCTATTTTGAAGGTTGGTAAGAACTATTTTTCCCTCCAAAATAAGATAAATACTGTGCATTTTAAGTTTCACGTAAACTCCAGGACAAACTAAACTTCCTGTAAAAATAACGGAGAGAACTGAAACATGAGTGAACCATTTGGGTTTAGGGTCAGAGTTTTTTTCCTCAAGTGTGTGAGAGAAAGAATTTCTGGTGAAATGCACACGTTGTCAGCATGTGTTATGCTTGTGTAAAAGCGAGAAGCCACCCATCTTCCCAGCCACTACTAACAGCTGGTGGTGTCTAAGCATGACTAAATCACTCTGAATTATTATTTTTTAATTGCTGTGCAAGTACACTAAGTGAAAAACACATTCAATTAATTTGCTATGGAACAGCAATATTCAGGGTTTGGTTATTTTTGTTGTTGTTGTGTGCTTGTTGGGTGGTTTTGTTTGTTTGTTTGTTCCATCTGTATATTCTTCCCTGCAGACAGTTTCCTCAGACACCCTCAGGAAGTTACCCTCAAGTTTTGTCAGCTCTGCACTAAACCAGCCACCTTTGGAGGGCAGTGGTGTCTGCTGTCACCTCTATTCCCTCCCATCTACAACTGTGACGTTAACGATTTACTACTCCATCACCAAGCACTGCTTGGTGGAGTCCTAACCAGACACTTGTACTGCCTGGTTCCTACCTAACTCCTCTTCATTTGTGGTCAACAGTGGAAATTCCTGAGCTTCCTTAGTGGAGTTATCTTTACCAATATAACTCCATCTGGTTTTCCAACACTTCCAGCTATGTCTTCCATCAATTTACCCTTACGTATAATTCTCTGAGACATTCCCAAATACTATTTTTTTTCTCTGCTTTGCCTCTAAATTTGTTCCATAATAGTCATTTCTGATTTCGCATGCCTTCTTTCTTGAGTGATGCCCACAAGAGGGTTTCATTGACAGAAGTTGCCCTCAGAGTTGCTCTTTCTGCATCCCTCCACTCAAATCTGCCTCAAAATGCCAACGTTCAATCTGTCCTTGAACCTATTTTCAGCTCTGAATCACACACACACACACACATAGAATTTCTAGGTTGGAAGAGACCTCAAGATCATCGAGTCCAACCTCTGACGTCTAAGACTGCTTAAGAATACCTGCATCTGAAACTGTATTGATCATCTGTCTTGCTTCTGTCCTCTCTTCCCAACTGACATATACATGTAGACCCTGATTTATTCTGACCCTAAATCCCAGTTCCTTAAAATTCAGTTTGTCCAAACACAGCAAGTAATCTCAGCCCAGAGATTATTACACACTACTGACCTTCACAAAACTCTGCTGGATTCTCTTACGCTGACGAATGCAGAACAGACTTCCAGTCTTACGATCACTATTTATGTTCTCACAGTGCCAACTTAAAAACTAGACTTGCGTGTTGGTGAAACAAGCTTTCTTCTCTGCTTCCTCCTGCACGTGAAACTGTCTCCCTTTTTCCTGTGGCATTAGCAGACCTGAAGTTCTCTACTTATCTGCCTCAAAGCCAATTTCAGCTTGTGTCTGCCTACTTCTGTTTAGCCTTTGTATCTCCACCTGCTTCTCCCACAGGCATAGGTAGCAATGTCATAAACACACAGAAAAATAAACCTACCTCATTCACAGTTGTTTTGATCTAGAGATTCCTCCAAGGTATGAGCTAACTCGCACAATAAATCACTGGAGCTCTTTCAAAGTTACACGTTTCTTTTTTGCTCTACCACACGCAAATGCAGAAGAATGCAGAAAGCTGAACGTACCACACAGCTATCAGTAGGGGCTACAGACGTGTGATTACCATAACTCACATTACAGAATTACTTCTGAAAAAACCTTGCCTCCCAGATAAGTGTGCTAGCAGTCACAACACGCATCTCTGTAGAGTTTCGTAGGCTTGATTAGGGTAACTGGGGTTTAACTTTCAGATAATTTCATATGCAAAACGTTCCTTAATCTAGTTTTTGAAAGACAAAAAAGTCCTTGACCAACTTCAGTAACCAGAGACTGACGATATCGACCAGATAAAATGGCAGTAAATAATGCCTGAGTATTTTTCCAAAAGTGATTTGCATTTATTTGTAGCATTCATGATAACACGTTAGATAGCACGCGGGAGCTTCTACCTGAAACACGTAGTGCTATTAAGTAAGCGGCTCCTAATTTTACATGCAGAGCTCCTACCTTTGCCTGCATAAATCAGTTGTTCAATTTGCACATATGATTGCGGTAATGGCACATTAACATGACAAACTGCAACCAGAGGGGGCTGGCTATTCACGCAGTGAATTCTTTGCTTGCTGCCAAATGTGTTTCTCAACTGCATATGCAAATCCAGACCCTGGTTCACAAGTGCCTTGCTATTAAGAACAGCGCTTAAAAGTACACACAATTTTAGCTTGGGTAACACTGAAATCAAAGGGATTTAATGAAGTCAGCGAAAGTTAATCTGATGCTTATGCACTTAAAACACTTTTTAAACGTCAGTGAAAATCTATCTAACACAATGCAAGTTAGAAAAGCCAGAAATATTTCATGTTTTGTCATGCTTTTCATGTTTGCGTTTCCACTGGCTCATGACACCTCCTTAAAGACCTGCACTTTATCATCTCAAATGCATGTTTGATACCTGAATCTTTCTGTGTGTGTACTGAACTCTAGCTGGCAGAAGCAGGCTACCACGGGTGTCACTATGTGCGGTGGCAGAATAGAAATGGTGCCCTAGTGCTATTTTGTTTATAGCAATATAACGCTCAGGGGCTTCAGTGGAGTAACCTCTGTATCACGGTAACGCAGCTGACTTTTATGCCCAGATGATGCTTTGCTCCTCTTCTAAAGACTGGTGCTCCCACCACAGGGATAAGTAAACAAAAAATAAAAATAAATAAATAAATAAGCAAACAATTCTTAAGCAGCAGAATCTAAACTGATTTCATTTTGCTCTAATATGCCAGGCCATACATTGCTGTAGACCAGGGGCCGTGACATTTCCCTGCAGTGGGAATGCCAGCTTGTCGTGGAGGTGCAAAGCAGACAACACTAAGTGCTTCAGCCATCCCAAACTAACCTCCCACTGCACAATTCAATGCTGGGAAAGCAAAATCAGGCCTCAGAAATCTGGCAGCTTGTAAAGGTGATGCTGGGAGTATAAATAACTTTCAGGAGAGAAAAAACATTGCTTGGAGTTTGAGAATAAAATAAAGAAATGGAAAAGAGAAAGAGAAAAAGGGAAGTGTGAAATAGGTTAGAAAATAAGATTCTCATTAGATAGGTGACTGGGATTAATAAAAACAAAAAAAAACCTTTTCATTTCCTTCCACCCTCATCTTCCCCAAATCAGTGCTTTAAAAGAGAAAGAGAGAAAGAGAGAAAGAAAGAAAGAGAGAGAGGAAAAAAAAGAAAATCTACATCTTCTTGTCATGTATTATAGTTTTCATAAACTTATGACTTAGAGGCCATAACTCCAAGTCATAATCTTGCCAAAATTATTTCAAGAAATATGTTCAGCTAACCTTTGGGCTGGCACCTTAGGCTGGCTATTCTCTGCCTTAAGACGTAGAAAGCTGCAAAACAAATATCCAAAAAAAAAGAAATTCCAGCTTTTTTTTTATTATTATTATTTTTTCCTGTAAGGAGGATGGACTTGGCTGGGGCTTTTATCAACTTGTTACATTCCTGGAGACTTACACACATTCAACATTCAGAGCTTTTCTGAAATAAAAAAAAAAATTCTGGTACACATTTAAAAATGGAAATACCTTACATCAGTCTTTCATTACGAGATTTAGCAAACACATTCTGATATATGAGAGTAATTCAATATAATGACGTGATGCTATTCTTATTCAGTCAACTAAGGAGCTACATTTTGTCATGTTTCGTAGGGTACATAGTTGTAAAAATTCTCATGTTTCACAATTTATGTTCCATGTTTCCATCAGAGCATAAATGTTGTTCTTAAAGAGACAGTATCCTTTCGTTTAAATACATGGGGACATTCTCAATGCTGCACCTCCACAAAACAAACGTGAAGGGTTGCATCTGGATGCTAATTTGAGAATAATTAAAATTGCACCCATTTTAAAGTATCTGAACATCTGCAACCAATGAATACGCTGTCGTATAAATTTACTGGTCATTTTCATAATGTTTAAATTTTCAATGTCAGCTAAATTAAAACTAATGCTTGGAGACCTTTCCAGCTCGTACTGCCATATGAAACTAAATACACTACAAAAGTTAAATAAGATGGAAACAGAGATTTATGTTTCAGGCTCATACTCAATCAATTTACTTGCCAATAAAATGAAAGGTAGCAGCACAGCTTGTTAGGCTACATAACCTCATTATAAAAGACGGGGGCTTAAGCAACAGTAGCTCTTTGTATTTTACGCAATGTGTGTCCAACACTTAAAGGTTTGCTGTGACTGCAACTTTTATCAATTTAAAACAGTTTTCAAGTAGAAAGTCCCTTAGTGTTTATTATAGTGGAGGGAGCTTCCCCAGGTTGCTGATGGGCTTTGAGAGAAGCTCCACATACAAATACGATCAAATCATGTTACTGGTGATATTTCCCTGGGACAAACTGGACCATAAAACTATGATTCTATGCAGGAGGGATGCAATGGGGGAGTGGAAAAGGATACTGTATCTTTAACATAGCAAAGTCATAACTGTTTAGGACCATAAAGCTTCTAAAGTGAACACAAACACTGAATAAAAATAGCAAAACCTCATTTTATTTTCTTGCATGACAGTATTAAAGTGGTAGTGCAATTCTGTATAAACGTCTTTTCTTTGACAAACACCTAAAGATGCACAAAGTTACCGGTCATACGGTAGGATCTGTGCATAGCAATATTCATTAAACATTGCCAACACGATGTGTTAATGTTCTCACAACCACAAATTTAGTAACGAAATTCTTGCTGGATTTAAGGAGGCTTAAGCCAGTGGGCCAAACCCCTGGAAGCCATTATTGTCAAGGTTCATTATTGACAAAATCATGGTTTTATTTTGCTAAAGATTTGTGCAGCTTGGACCATACAGAATTGCCATTTCCACTTCAAGCATCATTACATACAAGAAACACAAGTCCTAAGCAACTCATGGCCTCTTCTCCCATTGATGTACGAGATGATTTAGATGAGTAAACTCCCACCAACACTACTGTTGGTTATACACAATCTCCTTCTAGGCATCAATGAGAGCAAAACCACCTCTTCCCCCTGCCCCTCCCCAGCGCCTTGCATCTCTGTAAATAGATGGCACAGCACGGATAGACGGTCTTGAAGCTCATTAAGACAGAAGCAGAAGCAAATACAGTACAGATTTCTCCACAACAGTTGCAAGAAGGCAGCAGCATGCACGATTTCCAGCAAAGCATCTGGTTATGCCTGCATCTGCTATTTCAGCTTGTACAAGCTCCCCCCTCTTTCTTGCAAGAACTTCCTGCAGCAACATGCATTTCACTAGGCTGGACTAAATCTAAATGCTACTCTGACATCTTCAGTCGGCATTTCTTAACAGCACAATGCTTAGACACGGTGTAAACTGATGGCTTGACTTCTATTTTTACTAATGGGCTATTGGATTGCATAGCTTCTTGACTGCTCTGTCCCTGAGCTTTTAAAATTCATTGTGGTTTTATAGTAAGGTGGTGGGAAACTGCTTTGCTGACCTATCCTGGCTCTGTTCTAGGGGGAGAAGACTCAAACCTCAGCATAGACAGATAACCAGACTGAGTTGCAACAGATGGACTCTCTAAAAGAGCACGCTCATCTTCTTGATCCCCTTTCAGGATGGGCTTTATTGACTTTGTTAATGTTTAAGGAGAATTCAACAATGTCATCAAATAACAGCACTATTTGTTACATCCATGTTCAGTGGGATGTTATTCCTGTTAAACACCTATCGCTGGTCAAACTTTCTGTCCACTGGACAAACTCTCAGAGTACCTCTGTCAACCTCAACACTCATGCAGACTCTTGCCAGCAGAAGATCTGACAGTAAGTCAGCATCAGTTTATGGAAGCTGTAGATCCAAGCTTCTATTTTGTACACGTGTGAATGCAGGAAAAGAAACCACATTCGCTGTTGCCTCCAGCAAAGGAGTTGTCCAAACCGTAAGCTAGAACAAGAACTCGAGTAGCTTTCCATTGTTTTTCTTAAAAAGCTTACTCAACTTTTAAAAGCTATGTTAAAGAAGTAGTATCTCTTTCTGCCAGGTCTTATTTAATAAAATGAGTTTAGTTCTTGGCTGTTAAACTGCAGGTGAAATTGTGAAGCAAAAGGCAGCTTACATCCTTAGTTCAGCTTGACTACATCTAACTAGCACACAAATGACTTACAAACAGACATGCAGCCAAGTACAAAGCAGGTGTATTTTGTCCACGAAAGGCACACACACATGGAAACCATTTTTATAGCTTCTGAAAGAGCTACAGCACTTCTTGTAAGCCAGCTAAAAGCAAGGCAGGTAGCCCACTAGTTCTAGGAATGACTTTCAAGGAGCCCAGCCAGATCAGTGGCAAAAAACATCCACAAAGAACTAACATGTTTCCAATAGCCCCTAGCACAGCTTCTTAGGAACTAAAGGGAAGAACTTACACTAAAGAACAAAAAGTATCACATTCCTTCTCACATACACCTCTGCATGAAATCAGTGTCTCTATTATCCCGTATTTTAGTTTCCTGATAAACTAACCAGGTTCCAGAGTCCAGTATGTGTGTGTGGGGTGTGTGTTTGTGTGTGTGTGTGAATTCACAGGTCATTTCCCTACAGTGGGCTGGCAGCCAGGGTCAGTCGAGCAGTAGTCCAAGGATTTTCCTGCTGTTTGACCCACCTCTGACCTGGCCAACGCTTGGACAACAAAGGCCTGGATTATCCTGCCCTTGAAAAACACTCAGGGAGAGAGCCATCCTTAAAGAAAACTGTCACAGACATTGATTAGGGGGATGAGATGCTGGGCTTCAGCAGAGCTCCTAGACTACAGCGGCTAGAGTCCTGAAATTACCAAGGACTGGTTTTCCTTCTGAAGTTGACATTTCTCATCTGTCTCAAAGAACTTGAGCTTCAGCCCTACCACTGCTGGAAATTTTCTTCACCTGGGTGTTTCAAACCATTAAAATTACTGTTGACTAACACATTAAAAAAGAAAAATAAAAAGTTCAATTAACTTCCCAAGGCATTTTTTTTCTGCTGCTGTGGGGGAAGAAAGCTTGGTTTTCCCTTACCCAAGTAAATCCCACCAGCTGGGCAACAATATGAGATTTTTGAACTAATTTCAATGGGGAAATTTGACACCTGACTTTAAAGCACTGATGACTTAAGTCCAATGGCGCACAGTATCAGTTCTACCAGTGCTGAGGTTTCTTCACATGAACTCAGAGTTGTTGCTCAAACAAATTGCTGCTGCTTCCAAATTAGCCTATTTACACACCAGGTTTAATCAATAAACCCATTCAAAATCTCAGAAAGGCTACTCAATTAAGTCATAGGATATATCCACCGCTCTAATTCTAGCTTAGGCCACTAAATAAGTGTAGATGGTTTTTCAATTTACAAGGACTTAGAAAACCCAGTGAAGTTATTTGAGATACATTTGTTCAGCACCTTTGAAAATATGGCTATATTGATATCAATCTAAAAATGGCTCTAGCTGCCTAAACACGGATCTCACTTGGTGTTCATAACCCACAAGGAAGAAAAAATCCAACATGTTTCAAAATTTTTGATTATTTCAGTTGGAGGGACACCTTCTAAGTGCATTTGCTGAAGCTGCCAAGAGCATTTGGGAAGGCAATTTTATATCACCATAGAGGCAGTATCTCTATGAGCTGTTACAGCTGATACTGACAGGCTTTGGTAGTGAGTTAGAGAGATCAGATCTACATGCACTTCCTTACACCTACAAGTCTTGACTGGTATAATTTATTAACAGGAGAGAGGATGTTTTAAAGGTAGAGTATAAATGGAAGGAGGGGCCTGATTTTGACTTCTTCCTGCATGTTTGTAAGAGTGAAAAAGACAGCTGGGTTATGTTGACTTATGTTACTAAGCAGCACTAAGCACAATTATGCTGCATGTACACCCATATGTCAAAGGGACATAAAAGGAATTACGCCAGGCTTCCCCAAAGCAGGTTTACCTAGCACGATTTGGTTTCCATTTGCAATTTTACAGATGGGCTACAGATCACGAGCGTGGCATTACCATGGCTTAATTAATGAGTTACCACTTGTCAGCTTAGCCACGCTCCTATGCTGTTAGAGCTGATGTACACAGACTTAACCCTCCTTCACAGTTAAATCATTGCCTTACACCATGCTCTAAGCTAACAATTTTCTCCTCGATAGCCGTGGGCATGCGGCAGGCCCACGCGTGCCTGGTGGAGCAGCCAGCACGGCTCAGCTGGGCAGCAGGAAACGTGTCCAAGTGTGTTTGCAACTGCTCGCCTGTGGCTCATCGCGGCTCAGAGGCCGTGCCATAACTCTAATCTGGGACAACTCCGCCACGTATCGGGCCTCTAATCTTGCTACTCGCTGTCTCCAGCACTGCTTTCACCTTACATTTGCTCTTGGTAGGATAAACTCAAAAGCAATTGGGGCATACGCAGCAGATGATGAATGACTAAACAGGTAAGAGTGTAAATGTGCTGCAACACTTGCAGGTATAACAAGGATGATTCAAACCACTTAGTTTGATTATAGCAGTTCAATCCCACTAATAAAAAGCTCAGCATTGTTGCCTAAATATTTACTGCTTCATTTTTGGACTCACTTTTAAACTGGGTCTCACTAATCATTTTTAAGTCTGACTCTATACTTATTTTCATTGCATAAATACTATTTATTCTAGAAATGGCAAAGGAAACATATACTTAGTACAGAAAGTCTAAAATTTATGCCATTTATCTTTGGGCCAGGACTAAGAGGCTTGCCTTTCCCCATAGAGCAGGAGAAACAACTGTGTACTTGGCTTTCTGGAAAATTTTCAGTGATATCCCTTTGTACAGTAAAACACTCAAGGCTGCCTTTGAGGCTAGGAATGCCGAATGCCGCCTTGCGTGTGAGGTTAATCCTTCACACTGACTGCCACATTCCCAAGGTGGAGAGCTGACTACAGATTTTCTATTTGGCTGCCAGCACTAGGAAGATTCACTTTCATTTAGCGTAATCTCCCACTCTGTGATATGACTGGAATTTTCACCACCCACAACTGGGGCAGGCTTCCTTGCTTTATTTTTCTAGGAGCTTGGCTCCCCTTTCAGAACTAGAATGAGCAGCTAAGTTTTGAGTAAGGTCTTCAGCCCAGATGTCTAGGACTCCTCTAAAACAGCAAGTTCAGATAAAAAAAAATATCTCAGCATCTGGGTGAAAAAAAAAAATGGAAAAAACAAATATTTATACACCTAAATGACAACTGTATTCCTGTCAAAGTCTGGTCCCAGTTACTGGAGATGACCACATAAAATCCACCTCTGCACTCCTTGGAAAAGTGCATGGAGGACAAATCTGTAAATAATGAACTTAGGCACTGTAGAAGGAGATAAGAATTCACTTAGCTTTAGCCTTAAAAAAGGAACATTTATGGTACCTGAAACAGTTGGAAATCACTACAAGTGACCTTACTGAGAAAATTCAAAGACTAAAAACTAATAAAAAAAAAAAAAAAGACTCTCTGGATGTTATGTCTCAGTTTTGATTTTTAGTTATGATTTTTTTGCTAGTATCACTTTATGCTATTCCCATCTCCCAAGACTACAAAAACTGCAACTCCAAATCAGACTTTGTAACAGCAAGAATTTAAAGGCAAGTACACCTGTAGTTGACTTCCAGCTAAATGTGAGTTGAAAATTATGGTCATAACACAGGAGATGACACGTCTAAGTAAAAGGCCACAATTAGACCTTTTATTTTTGTGTGGTTTTTTTTTCAGTGCAAATTATTGATAATTCTCAGATAAGTCTTCCTAGCCTCAAACATTTAAATGCTCAATGATTTTCAAATATGTGTTATAATATATTGACAGACATAAATTCTATTATCTCTGGACCAGCTTCAATCAACCTACTTCACAGTCTCCTTCCTTCTCTATAAACGTTCATGCCAGTGAAAGGACTATTTCTGTTACCAACCCCAGCTCTAAAAATCAACATGACTCATGAGACAGGCTGAGATACTGATCTGAGAACTTCACATCTGAAAACAGTAGCAGATATGTTATATTCCAAAAGTACTTTCCCTAGCTTTTTATTTTTTTTTTAACCAGTCAACTTATATACCTATTAAACACTGTGGGCTTCTAACACACTTGGGAAGGAAAGAGACAGTATGGCTATTTACAGATTTGAACAAAACCTTTGCTGAGAGTCTATTTGCATTGCCAATGCTACTTCTGCCTTTTGTCTTTCTATCAGCCGCCTGCCTATAATCACTGTCCTGCAAACTACGCAGCTAATAATTCAATACCTGTTTTCCTTTAAAAATGGCTTGGCAGAAAATCATCTAGTTAGCAGACAGTTGCATCTTAATCAGAAAAGCAAGAACCAGTATTTATAGGTTTACTCCTGCAAAAGCTTTGGGGAAATCACTCATGTATGTACTGTTAGGCACATGAGCCAGTGTTCCCAGAATCAAAGCTTATAATTTTAACAAGCTGAGGTCTCTGTGACAGTCCTAACACTTTTCACTTCTATACAGTGCTAGCTGCCACCATAGAATACTTTTTGAAGTTGCTGTTAATGATGAGGGCTTATCTATTTCACTACCCTGCAATTATATTGAGGATTCTAAATAGATGTGAAAATATCAGAGATGTTCTCTTCACGTGTGACCCAATAAAAGGATGCTGTCAGGCTGATTCATATAGCCTTAGTTGGGAGTTACTGAAATAACATTTGAACTTAGCATCAATTTGAATATTTCCATTAACTTTTTAAATGAAATGCCAATTATTCAAGATTTCCTTCTTGGATATAAATATTCCTGCCTGCATTGCTTGTAACATGACACTGTGGTGTTACGTCATGCTATTAGGCCAGAGGACAAAACGAAACAGAAACAAAATAAAAATTCACAAATTCTCGTTGCCTTAAGCAAAGTTTACCTTCCTTGATTGCAATCAGTTTTAGAACTGTTAATAATAGACTGAATTTTAGCCTGACAACATCCTTTCAAGTAGATCAGACTCACACATGCAAAAGCCTATGCCCTGCAGTATAAAACTGTGTGTGAACATGTGAAAGATAGGACTAGGTGTGTACAAGCCTTTCCTAGGAGTGACTAGAAGCCCCAGCAGCGATGGTACTCACGTTGACAATGTCCCCAAGCCAAGCGGGCCCAGCCCCAGCAGCAGTCAATTCTACTTCCAAACCGGCACAGTCCTGTGGAAGAGACTATTTGTCTGGGCCACCTGAACGAGACATTTCAAAAAAAGGCTGGTGAGATGTTTTGAAACCGTTCCATATTAAGAAAAACAAATTAGAAAAATAATAATAATAATCTTTCCTGCACAGAGGCTTTTGTGGTAAACAAGAACTGCTCTGAGTTGAGTCTGTGATATTCCTGTCATTAAAACAGCGTGTAGGTCGGAAATTGTAAACAGCTATAGGCAAAAAAAAAGGGGGAAGAGATAATTTGGGTAAGTTTGTAAAGCCTGAACCAATTGACATGCTTGGCAATATGCTCACTGCTGCCGCTCACAGGGCTAAGCAATCCCAGAAGTTTGGATCTATGATGGGGAATTAAACACCATCACAGACTTTCAGCATTGATTTTTTTCACAGCATATCACCACTTTTTCTCACAGAAGGAAAAAAAAATAACCAAAACTAAAGCTTCTCGTGCTGTTAAAGTGTATAAACGCAAAAGGAGAGCTAGTGCCAGAGCGAATGAACGCAACAGGGAAAGAGAGAGCGCGGTCCTAGGCACTTCCAAAGTATTGTGGGGAGTTGTTAATGCTTCGTGAGGACACACGGGAGCGAAGCAGCGGAGCAGAGCCGAGGGAGCAATGTTTGCAGAGGGTCCCAGCCCTGCTCGGAGCATCCCGCGCGGCGCCCCCGCTACACCTGACGCGGCTCGGCACCGGGCGCAGCCTCGCCAAGCCTTCCCTTTCACCTCGCTTCACGTTAAAACTTGAGCTGCGAGCCTCCTCCGCCTCTCGTTTCCAGTGCCTCGAGGCGTCAATAAAGCGATTTGATCTCCCCAGCACGCCAGGCGCTTCGGTTTTAATCCCGATTATGGGACGCGGGACGGGTTGGACGGAGGGAGCCCCCCGCCGCCATTTCGCACCCCGCCGGCCGGCTCCCCTCAGGGCTCCGGCTCCGGCTCGGCCGTGCCCGAGGCGCCCCCCGCTCGCCGCCCCGTACCCTTGGGGCTCCTACCTTCTGTCAAACTCCCCGGCAGCCCCCAGGGAGAGGCAGGAGGCCAGCAGCAGCCGCAGGGAGAGCTCCATGGCCGGCGGGGCTCCCCGCCGCGCCGCCCCGGGACGGCGCCGCTGAGGGGACGGGGAGCGGGAGCGGGACCGTGAGGGGGCTCCGGCTGCCGCCGACCCCGGCCGGGCTGCGGAAAGCTGAGGAGCGGCGGCAGCGAGCCCCTGGGTGCGGAGGAGGCGCTGCTGAGGGGCGGCGGCGCCGCCCGCAGCCGGTGGGGGCGCCCGGTTTCGGGCCGCCCGCCTCCGGGCCGCCCGCCTCCACAGCCCGGCCCCGGGGACACCCGCACCCACGGGGCTGAGGGGGGACGGGGAGAAAGGGGGTGGGTTGGGGACAAGTTGGTGATTTGGGGGCCTGAGGTGAGGCAGGCAGCCCCCCCCCCGGGAGCAGAGTCCGTGTGGGAAGGTTAAAGGGTAACGATGTGGTCTTCTTTTGCCCGCCTAAGTTCTCCTAGTAAAATGCTTTCCAAGAGAATTACAAGTTTGTGGTGTTTTGTTATGGCTTAAATACGTTTTGTAGCTCTCTGATGTTGGCATGTGACAGAGTCCCTGCCCCTGTCCCGACAAGCAACAAGTTTCCACATGACCCACACACCACCACCACCAGCGGTTACTCCAGCTGTGTGCTACACAAAAACCCTAAAATACGGCAGCCAGGGCCAGTTCATTTCTCTGAACTTTTGAGACTTACTGAGGGACACTTTTAAAGAAAACTTGTCACCAGCTTAGGGTCAAGGCTGTTCTGAAGTCTCTCTGATTACAGACAGACAGGCCAATAGCTTGGACCACATTGCGGCAGTGGTTTTGATTTGTGCCCGAGTCAGGGCTAATAAGGCTCATCAGCTGTTCTCACAAAGGGTCCGGCTACAGCTCAGACCCCGAAAAGAAAGATCTTCCACTTTGTGCTGTACCACAAAGCCAAACCCTTTACAGAGCACTGAGATGCCCGCTTCCTGACAGATGATTGCAGGCTTCAGGGTTGAGCTGGGAGTTCTGCTCAAAGCATTTTGCACCTTCAAAACACAGATATTCAAGCAACACGGAAACAGTACAGACCTTTTGCACAAAGTATGAATTGTGCTGGTGAGCTTTGTAAAATTACACCTTCTCTCAGAGCAGTTTTACCGCTTATCGCTGGTTTGCAGCAGAACACCCTCTGCTCCTTCACTTAATCTTTGTCATCTTTTCAGGACCATAGTTTCCCTGTGCTAAGCTTTCTGTCCACAGTCTCAACCCAACACTGTTCACACACAGGAAAAAAAAAAACTGTCAAGAGCTGATGATTCTGCAAGATGCTTGTTACCTGTGCTTGGATAGCAAACCCCTGTGGAGGACTTAGCTAGAGACAAAAACTACAGCAGAGACCAAACTTTGTTCCCTTCATCCACATCAGGAGAAGCTGATAACCAAAGACTGAAGGCAATAACGCAGTAGCATTTGGGAAAGACAGGAGAGCATCTGGCTGAGATTAGATCCTTGCTGAAATATAGAGTTGATTTCCAGCTCTTGACTGATTGATTACATTTTTCCCCCACTCACATACGTGATGTGGGATCATCCCACAGCCCTTGCAGAATAAATTTATTGTCAAGATTTTATGGGCAAAAGGAATAAATCCTACATGTGACAGCCACAGGGATTTCTCTCTGGTACCAGCATCTGGTTGCATCTCTCCAACACACAGGAGGAAAATGCCCACAGATTACACTGCAACCAAATTCAGGACAGGTGCCTAAAACAACATTTCAACTTCATTGTGAATAAAGGTCTAGGGCAACCTGACACTTTCCCTCAAATGTCCAAAAGGACATGTCAAAGTCAAATCCATTCACACTACTCTGCATTTTGTAGTGGTACTTAAGTACTGAGCAACTTTTAAGCACATGCTGCTCCTTTAAAGCGCATATACTCACAAATGGTAATAAGATTGTTTAATCTCTCCAGCCTGCACTCAGTATTTCAGATGTCCTCTGCAGTTTTTGGCACTCTTGTATGTTAATACTAGTGTGCTGGTCGGACGTGGTACCTACTTCAATTAGGCATGTCTGCTGTTGGTTAACTTCTGCTGTCTTTACAATTTGTTTTGGAATATCAGCCTGAAAATAAAATAAAATAAATTACCAGATGCTGGAAGACCACATGTTACACTTCCATACCCATCAACGGGACTAATATCCAACCATTTATGAATTTATTTATTTTGGCAATGCTTTATCAATGTCAGGGGAGTTTTCTTAACAAGGTAAGATACACTACATTAAGAGCAGAGGAAGAGTCTGATGCACTTTGTGATAAGAAAGCAGAAAGTAGAGAAATGCTCTGAAGAGTGGGGTTTGCTAGCCCTGCTGTAGGGATGGTAAAGGTGGTGGTGACAACCGCTGCTTCTGGAATGGTGAGCATTACTGTACAGTCATGCAAAGCATGCAGGAGTATGTTCAATATACCACACAGTAGAGTTGCTGGTATTTCTCCCCCCAAAGTACACGACAGTGTTAAACTTCATTACATAAGTTGCTTACAGCACTATTTAACTGCTACTATAAGTACCATCAACTAAGAAAGAATGTAAGCAACAAGAAACCCAGTTATAATTAAATGATGCTCACACAGGTTCATTTCATTAGAGAGAACTTCCTTCTATGCCAGGGAATTGTTCCACATGCACACCACTTTCTTTTAATTCAGTAGGAGTAGGCTGAATGTCCAGGCTGTCTCAGGGTTAAAAACTTCAGCTAAATAGAGGTTTCTAAGATATTCCTTGTGGATGGTTTTTCTTGGGGGGAATTTCTGGAATACTCTTTGGTATTGACTAGACAAGCAATATTAAGAAAAGAGAGCTGAAGAGATACCAGTGGTGGGTATTTTAGAATGACAAATACTGGTAGAGATGATGAATGGTAGAATATGGTTGATAGGACAAGTCATACAGAAGCAACTTCAAATTTCATCTTCATTGTTACAGGCAGCTGTAAATTAGACATAAATGCAATAGTAGCAGACACCACCTTCGGCCAATCTACGGTCAAGTAACTTTTCTTTGAGGGAGGCATTTGTTACCTCTAGCAAAATGCCCTTTTAAACATTAATTTCCTCTTTGGTGTCTTAAAATGCATTACAAATATTAATAAAGTCCTCTATTCAGCTGAATCAAGCAGTACTTTCTGTGACTCTCAGTTTACATAAGCAGACATTAAGGAACAGAAAGTGATGTTTCCCACAAATCAAGTCATCTGTCATCAAAGCAGAAATAGACCTCCTGTTTTCCAATTTCATATTTAAACCACAAATCCATCATTCCGTCTATGTATTCCAGCCTCATTGAGGCTAAGTTAACCACAAATACCACGCTATCCCACTCACTAAATCACACTATGACACATGTGTAAAATATGGCGTACTTAGTTTGTAGTTGATGGCATACAGTATCGTATTCTCCACTTGTGATACTAAAACATGCCTACTTTTGGGGAAAAAAAAAAAAAAGGAAAAAAACAAACCAAGTCCAAATTATCTATGAAACTTTCGACGTCATTACTTTTCTTCTGGGTGATGAAACTCTGCTCTTCAACCAAATTTAACATTGTTAAGTATGATAAATACTTAATATACTTAAAAGTAGTATTTATTGAGTAATTATTATCTCAAGCATACACTAGGTGACAACCTCTGTCAGTGCCACCCTAATAAGAAAACTGTGAGGGATCAAGAAGATCCAGTAACTGCAGCTAAATCTAACTTGGTACTCTACCTCCTTCTCAGTAAATTTACCTAAAAGGGTAAAGTCATCAAAACTATCAAATGTTGTAGTATCAATTGCCTTCTGTACAGATCTTGCATCTCATCTTACTAATTATTTGCTTTTTGAAACAGGCTTTTTCAACACATCCTTCTCATGTTTGTACAAAATCCTTCTTTAAAACTGTGAGTGGTATTTGTGTTGATGTTTCCTGCATTTCATTACAGTGTGAGCTGTACTTCTTCTCCCCTATAAATAAACAATTTTCTGTTCAAAGCCCAGTAAAATTCCTTATTCCCTTTTGTATATATCTTTTGAACATACAGCTACTTGATCAATTCTTTTATCAAAGGTGTTTTTCATTGAGGAAAAGAATTACAATCCCCTAAACTTAATGTTACCCTATTTATTAGGAATTTGTTCTACTTAGCCTCACTTGAAGCACCATGATTGAATACATCAAGTGCAGATTTTTCTGTAAGAGACATCTTCATCAGTACAGTGAGGGACAGCATAGCCAGCTTTACAAAATTATGGCAAACTGCCTGCACTGAGAGCAGCCTTGTGCACCCTGCTGCTCTCAGTAATGCTAGCAATGAATGGGATGCCACTGTTGGAGAACATGGGTTTGAGAAGTTTTGTGGTTTTTTTTTGTGACAAAACTATGGACTACCTTCCATTGATCCAGACTCGCAGGCTGTCACAAAGGCAGAACTGGGATGAGTTCTGCATCCAAGAGAAACAATTGTGAATGCCTTCACAGACTGAGCAGAAAAACATGCATATGACCTCTGATGCTGTCTGAAAAACAGAGGAAGAGAAGAAAGCATTAGGAATCTGTTGAATAAATGATTGACACGCTATTTTGTTCCATCAGCACTGAATAAAATGCCTCCAACAGTACATTAGCATCGTTACTGCCTGCTCCAGGTGGGTCAGCTCTCATTCACTGCTGTAGTTCAGTCAGCCTTTGGGAAAGCCATCACAACAAACCAGCTGGGCTCAGTGATAAGGATGCAGGGCTGTTTCCTAAGGAGCACAGCTTTGTCATACTTCTGTAAAGGGGTTTTCCAAACAATCTTTGTAAGGCCCTACTGTTCCCTTAATACGATGAATTCAACACAACTCCTATAGCTTTATGGCCTGTTTTGCAAATTGTACTACAGCTCCCCAGAGAATCATAAAATATCCTAAGTTGGAAGGGACCCATAAAGGTCATCAAGTCCAGCTCCTGGCACCACACAGTTCTACCCAAAAATTCAGACCATATGACTAAGAGCACAGTCTGAATGCTTCTTAAACCCCGACAGGCTTGGTGCTGTGACTACATCCCTGGGGAGCCCATTTCTAGTGTGCGACCACCCTCTTGGTGAAGAAACTTTCCCTGATATCCATGTCCAGTTTTGAACTCTGCAGCCAATGCCTGACACTGCAATGCAAGAAAACTGTTCCATGCATCACTAACGCATCATCACCTAAATCAT